TAAAATATTTATAGTCACAATTGGTCGAAGATACAGACAAAAAGAGTATACATTTAATATGGAGGTGGGGTGGAGGTTAGGGGTGGTCACAGGTGGACGATGATGGGAAGGGATGAGTAAGGGTTAGGGTAGATTGGAAGACAAAAAATATGAGGATGGGGGAGATGGAAACATTGAGGTCGGGAAGAGGGGAGCACTGTCACAAACAGATGAGACAGACAGAAGGTGAGACAGAGGAGGGAGACATGGGGGCTAATGGAACAGACAAAGAATTTGGAAACATGGGGTGATAGAGATCTCATAGTGGAAAGCTAGATAGGAGTCATTCCCCTCTGTGTTTCCAATGCTGGTAGTAACAGTAAATATTTGTACCTTCTTGATATATCACAAACTCCTGTTATCTCTCAAAAGAACTGAATCAAAGATTATATAAATTAATTTTTCATCTGAATTTTATGATAAATTCTTTTTGGAAAGTGTGACACATTGACAGTTTGAGTGTTGATTTTCCTGATCAGAATTTATGACAGTCACTCGTTTCCGTGATAACATTTAGTGGGTATTGTACCAGTATAACCATTTTGTTTTATCTGAATCAAGATCACTTCAAACTTGAGTCATTCATCATAAACTGTAACTTTTCACTCTCTAAGAGCCAGTGCTCTTAATGACGAACATTATACCAGTATCTAAATAATTGCTATATAATGCTAATTAGTAATCACGCAAATATAAATACACAGACTTTCTGGTTAATCACACACCAAAAGGATTTTTGTGTGGTATGGATCCCATTTTGTGACACTGTAAAAATGTTCTTTCTAGAAACAAGCTCCCACAGTGTGACAACTGTCAGACTGGTGTTTTATAATTTTAGCGTTTCATTTTAAGATTTTACCTGTAGGTTAGACTTTGATTTGTCTGTGTAAGGGCGTTGTACTCCGTAATCTTCTTACTGACGAAACCAAACTCTTGACAGGATATGCTTTTGCAAAGTATGTCAACACGGATTTGTCAATTCTCCACATACAAAGCATTATTGTCATTATATATGTGACTATTATTGATGAGTACGAAACACCAAAACTTGAAAATTTTGTTTGTTCATTGAAAGTTGAAAATTGATAAATGACATATTTGAATTAATCAAGATCTAAAATTTCATTTCATATAAAAAATCTGCTTACACCCCGTTGTCAGTGTCACGCTGTGACCTTGAAAGCGTAAAGTTAAAGATATATGAGACTACTATGGTGGTACGCTTTTGTCAGGACGGCAAAGAAATTTAAATTTATTGAAGTTTGAGGAATGAAATGTAGATTATGTGTTTACAAACAGCTAAACACAAGGTTTGTCTGTACCCCATATCTGAGATGCCTTGAGAAATTTCATTCTTCAAGGTGACTTTATGAAATTAGATCATAGTCCTTCAGTGTTTGAATAGATGTAGCCATATTGGTATCCAACGTAAGTTTGTTATCAGACTTCAGTTCAAATTACATAGCAACCAAATAACTCCCGGATGTCTTCTGAAGTTCAGCTTAATCGGAAACTAGAGGTTAGATTTTTTTTATGACGTTAATTATATTTGTACTTGTGTCATTCATGAACCTACCAAATTACATGTATTAATGATATTCAGGCCTTATGGTACCATTATCTTAATAAATTACTACTAATTAAAATGTTCATTATACCTGTGATGTTCAGACAGGTGTACATTGTGTGACCTAGATATTTCTTCTCTAGTATATTGTTACCTGTATAAGAATCCAGGTAACATTGAATATATGGGGAGTTTATTTTGGGGTGTTTTTGTCTCAATTGGGGAAGAATTTGAGGTCTATACTAACTATGGTTTCAAAAGGAGATTATTGGGGCAGTTGGTGTTTTAAGGGGAGATAATTTGTTGATTGGTGTCTCAGATGATTTCATTCTGTTTGAATTGGATCATGGGGATGAGAGATCGTTAGAAACAAGTTGACATTTCATTGGGGTAATACAAACATTCAAAAACTTTGGTAAGAATTTCCTTTAAGAGAGTCTGTGTGATTCAGTAGAACTGGTTGAGATGAAGAGTGCTTGAGCTAGGATTTGAAAGAAGGGGAGGATTGGGGTAGGTTGCTACTGCCCTGTCTGCTGTCTGTTCAGAGAAACTTGTAGTGTGCTTACCAGTCATTACTATTCTGATTTTTCAGATTTAATCTCGCCAGACTACAGTCTCCAGACTTTATTAACTGCGGGGACAGAGATATCAATTTATCATTTTAAATTTGATTAAGGTTAAATGTACAATCAGTTTAAGAATAATGGCTTGAATGGTGTATTGTGTCACTTTTGTGGTTAAATCCTTATCAATTTATTCAAATTTAAGATCATCCACTCTTTGTTAATATCATTTGATATGATAGAACTCACAAAAATATTTGTCAAACTTTGAAGAGTAGAGATTGACCTCCTAAATTCTAAGCTCGTTCTGAATTTCACGGCGTTTCGTTTTGTCACTGATGTCATTTATACATTTCATATTTACATATCGTTTATACATGCCATGAAGAGGTGTATTAACAGGTAGATAGACGAGTATAAGGAAAATATTAGATGTGCATCCAACCGTGTCTACAATGAATTTGAAGTCTGTCCTTTTATTTTCGTATATTTATAACTAGAGGGTGAAAAATAAGCAAAGGTATTTAAATAAAAAAATTCTGTCAAATACACACACGTTGAATAAGAGTAAAGGTGTATGTGATTCAAGGTTGTGGTTGGAGGATGATCAGGGCTAATCTGCGAGTAATTGGCTGTCTGTCATATAAAAGACCCAAAATTTTGACCCAGAGGACTTAACAACATATAGATATGAAGTAAATGTGGTTCGGATTTAATCGCTTACTGGGATTTTACATCTTGGACACGTAATGGTCTTTTAACGATGGAAACAACAGGTGAATTTTTTTCCGAAAGATATCATATTTTTATTTTGTATGTGTTATTGATATAAAAAAATTATTTAAGTTGTAGGTGAATTTATTGTAAATCTGACGATGTAAACGAAAACAGGTGGTAGAGAAATTTCCATGGTGTATATATTTATAAAGTTGATAGCTGTTTCAAAATATTTTAGTTTAGTACAAGCAACTTGTCAATTTTTTTTTTTATTTTTTAAAAGTACAAAATGTATGATGTTTATATATTTACTATTTGAAATTAGAATTGTGCAAATTTAAGATCTAAATCTTCAGTGATACTTATAACCTTTAATGTATATCACACTTTAAGAAATTTCTAGCCTTTGTATCAACACTTGAAAACCAAAATGGTTCTTAAGTTTTGAACGTTCAAAGGTTTAGGACTACTCAAACATCAGGTCAAACGATCAGGATATGGAAAAAAAACATTGTTGATGTGTGTCTGTCCCAGAAGAATTCAAGCTCATTAATAACCTGACTCTGAGTCTGAAGTGTTTCAATGATCCAGATTTCATTACTTTTCCTGATATCAATTGTGTAGATGTATCTTGGAGATCAATTTACCTGGGAGAACGGGAAGAAAATGTCAAATATTGATCCGAGAGCTCCAAAGACCTCTTAGCAGAGCGTGATATTGAATACAGGAATATCATATGTTCTGAAAGTACTTAAAATTTTGTCACGTATACATAAAGATTTTTTGGTTTCAGTGGAATCTAAATAAGGGTTTAACCTTTAAAATATTTCAGAATGTCTGTTTAAGTAATCTGGGATTAAATACCTGGATTTGTTAGTCCAAGAATGTAAAAGATTGCTTCCAATTTTCTACATATCAAACAAGATGACAGGCAGCCACACTGTGGAATGCTAGGAGAATGAAAGTACATATGTGTTAAATATGATGTAGCTGAAAAATCATCTCCCACCACTAACATTCTTATATCTCCTTTGGGATAGGCTCAAATTTGGAAATAGTTTAAAATATGGATGGAAAAATGATTGCCATTAAGCTGTTGATTGAAATACCTTAAAGAAAAGCAAGTATAAAAAACCAATTTTCAGTCAAAAGAATTTCCATGCCTTGACACGGAGTTGTGTGAGAAGTTAATTTAGAGCTAAAGGTGAGGATTTTCTTATTATCAAGGTAGTGTTGATATCAAACATTTTGTATACATGATACAAAGTTGTCCCACAAAAGGGGCGGGGCAGGGGGTGGGGCAAGGGGTGGATGTACATCACCTCTGATACTTTTAAACAGACCGCGCCTCTTTGATCAGACTTGTCCATTTCCAGTGATGGCAAAAGAGGGAACTAAAACTGAACAGATTGATATCAATTTATACAAGCTCCTGAATTTTACACTCTGTTTCTGCATTTCCACAAAACCTCTCAACAATTTTATTGGCTTTGTTCAAAAACATCTAAAATTTATTTCAAACTAGCACATATTATTTCCACATAGAGTTGAGCATTCCACACTCATGCATTTCACTCACTTTGGCTAAATGTATGCTTGGAATCAAGCATACACTATGTAGGTCAGTGGTAGTATGCTCCACACTGGTCATTTATCTGATGAAGTTGGCCATTTCAGTCATCGAAGTGTCACACTCTCATCCTGTATTGGTTGTGTTATAAGGACTTCTATTCTATTGACATTACCAACCTGAGAAATCATTCCCAAACATCAAAAATCAAACAATTTCTCTGTTTCTGTTATATTGAACTATAGGAAGATTTCAACAAAAAAATTATAACATTTGCATGAAAATAGAAAACCTGCATTTCGGTTTGAAATACTCCTTTTCATTTCTAACATTCAGGAAGTTGTAGAAACATGGATGATGTAGTTCGCATAGAATTTATTTGTCTGTCCTCATTTATAATATTAGTTGTGGATGTAAGCATGTCTGTTTCATTTTTCAATATTTGATCAATAAAACAGTTCACACCTGTATTTTTATGTTTACGTGTTGTCATATTTTACCTGAATACCTGTTGCTTACCTGGTCAATATTTGTGTCGTTACAGGTGGAAGTCTGGCCCGCAGTGTAACTGATGACCAGAATAATGCAGGTAAATTTTTTTATATAATTTCTTGTACATTATTTAAGTACGGTATTGACGCCTGTACAATATCACTGCTCTGTATGTATAATTTGATTCATTCGTGTATAAATTATGTATTGATTTCAAGCTGATAAGCACCCAGGATGCTTCACACTTCAGGGAATTAAAACTTCCAACATTATCAAATCAGTGATACTAAGTGGGAGATTTTGGTGAATGGAAAGAATAAATTACAGGATATCAAGTGATTATAGGCGTTTAAGGGAACTGGGTATTTATGATATCAAATGTGGTACAAGAATTTACTATCTCACATACCAGAAAAGAAGTTATAACATGCAATAAATTAAAATTTTCTCTGATAGCTGAAATTGTTCTTCATAAAGCGGATATGAAATATTGTAATGTAGCCCAGATATTAAGAAATTAACCTAATTTATGTAATTGACAGCAAAAACGTTAATTAAGGAATATGAATTTCTGCAGTTTTCAAGGTTAAAGGTCACATATATTGTAAACACCAGTAATGTTAACATATAAGTGTAGATACACACTTGAAACCTGGCTTTGAATGAGGACTGGTTTCCTGCCCAGTTTGTTCTGGGTTTTGAGTGTTTATAATAATATTTTTTTCAAAACTTGATACAAGAGGGTTTTAAATAGATTTTAGATAAACTCATTTCCTATGATACATTGTGAAAGCTGAATGAGGACGTGTTTAAGGTGTATTATTCTAAATTGACAAAACCCTGGATAATAAAACTAACTGATATTTGGCCAATAATACTTATATATATTCATCTACGAATCTGACTTACATGAAACCTGACTTTAAGGACATTTGATTTTAAGAGTATCCTGTAATATAGAAAACCCTGACTTTAATGACATTCTGTAGTATACAGTAAAACCTGACTCTACTGACACCTGACTTTAATGACATCCTGTAATATACAGTAAAACCTGACTCTACTGACACCTGACTTTAATGACATCCTGTAATATACAGTAAAACCTGACTCTACTGACACCTGACTTTAATGACATCCTGTAATATACATTAAAACCTGACTCTACTGACACCTGACTTTACTGACATCCTGTAATATACATTAAAACCTGACTCTACTGACACCTGACTTTAATGACATCCTGTAATATACAGTAAAACCTGATTTTACCGAATCCTGACTTTAAGAAAATCTTGTTATATTCTGTAAAACGTGACTTCATCTGCACCTGAGTTTGCTGACACCAAATCTTATGGACATTCTGCAATATAGAGCCAAATTAATTTTTGTTACAAAAAATTCTTATCAGATTGTGATTTTTTTTCTTGTGGATCAAGAATATAAAACAGTTGGCAGCATTTATGTATGTCAATTTGGCAAAATTTTGTCTGAAATATATACATACCTAAATTCTTGTTTGGAGAACCAAACTTCTAAGCTTCTGACTTTGTCAGAATAGGTAAATTAGCCTTCTGGGCTAATTGCAAAAACAATTTGGTATGTAATAGGTATTAACAAATGTTTCACTGTTAAGATATTTACGATTCTTATCATTACCAATGGGTTGATGTCTGCCACCAAGTTTGATAAAAATTTATCGGGTACTGTTTGTATATATCAGACAGTTCTATCAGAAAGGCAAACAACCAGCATTTACTAGAGTCGGGGTATATAAAAGGTTAACTTCTATAAGTTAAAATGTTTAATATGATGAAAGAAAAATTTCAATAATTGTTAATAAGTCTTAGCGGCACCATTTTTTTTATTTGTTGCGTATTTTTGATCATTACTTTTTTGTATCTTTGTTACAGACCTTCAAGTCGATCCAGTCTCTAAGTAAGTATTCGCGACACGTCAGTGATAAAGGGGTTTATAGAATGTTACGTACATATCACAATATGTTCTGACATTGATTTTCTGAAATTGATTGTGTATTTATTAGGAACATATAGAAAGGTAGGCCTTATACCTTTGTACAAGGAAGACTTTGATAAAACTTTAACCTACATTTAGGCTGTGACATGTAACATATGTTTCTCAACCCCATGATTTAAAAAAAATGGCATAATCTCGAATAGATACCCCAATATTTAGGATGTGATCTGTTACACCAGCTATTTACTGAGGATGTATAAATAGGGTTTTATGATAAACTTCACACCCACTGGGCACTTTGAGGTTGAATTAATTAAATCTTTTACTGTTTCTGGTTTTGCTGATATTCGAAAAAAAATCTCTCATTTTTTTTTAACACCTAAAAAATTATGGACATAAACATTTTATTAACAGTAAATTTCAGACTAGGTATCCATAGAGATATGAAATCTAGCATGTCGTATATGTTACAGCTAGAAGTCAGTTAACATATAATGAAATATTTGTACAAATGGAAAAACCCAGGTTTCACTATCAAACACATAGAAAAAAAACCAACAAAGTTTACAAAAGATTTTAAAAGCAGGGGACTCATTTTTTAAACAAATTATGAATGACTGAAATTCAGCCATCAGAATCTTGTCAACAGATCAAACGTATAGATTTCGGGATTTTTTTAGAGTCAGCTTTTTGACAAATGAATGGTTATCGGTTTACAGTCGTACTAAAGGTTCAAGTGCTCCGTATCAGTAAACAAAATCGGACCACTACAAGCTTTAAAATTTGAATTAAATCAAAACTAAAAAAAATGTCTGGCTTAAAAAAATATCTGAGTTTAATGGTGGCCCTAATTATCAATTACTTGTTTTGTGATTTCAACTTTAAAATTTAGAAAAAATAGAATTGAACATTAAATACTAGATGATAATCTCAGCATTTGGTGTTTTTGTAAGATGTTCATTTGAGATTTTTAATTAATAGTGATAAGACAGACATACCACTTTGTCTACTGTTTTGAGAGGCTAACTACATTTTCTGCCTTTTACATGATGTCCTGTTTGATGTGGTTTGGTGTCTATATATGTATACAGTTTCTGTTAACCCTCTTGACCCAGCATTAGGTAATACTACACACTGGTGCAGTACAATAACATGTCACCTTCTTGATGAAACACTCCACTGGAGCTCCTTTCTCATTTCCTATTTTTTGTGAGAACAACTCTGTACCACTGAAAAATATAGTATTGTCCCTTTAATTAATGTCCAAGAATTTTAATTACAAATTACAGATTTTTTTTAATTATATTACTGAACTTGAATCTGTACCATAGAAATTCCAAATTTTGTTGCATTTGAAATATATCTTCATTTTGAAATATATTTTTGAAATGTTTCATTTTTATTGTAATTTGAGAAATGCAAAATTAGATTATCTCCCTTTATGAAGAGCTCAAATTAAAAGAGTTTAGATACACAAAGACTGTTTTCAGTACAAAATTGTACAGGTATTATTAAGACTGAAAGTTACTACATGAGCATACAAGTTCCAATGCTGTGATGGTGACTTAACTCTATGCACAATGGACTGCATTCTAAAATGTCTTTGTTTGGTGAAATGTATGCCGAGCAATCTAAACAAAGACAAAAGACACTCCTAATTTTCTGCCTTAGGTTACATGATCATAGCGTCCCCAAACTCTAAAACATTCTTCAATCCTTTTAAAGTATGCAATCAAAATTCCTTGATATAATTTATCACAACACATGTTAAGTAGTGTTAAATGTGTTTTTAAAAATCTTTTCAAAATTGTGTGTGATGTTACAGGAACAGTTACGTTTCTTGGTTTATGATTTATAAAAAACCTATCAGCATTTAAAAAATAAGTAGCATGCCTGTGTGATTTTCAGTAATGTTTGTGTAAAGTTGCAGGTTTTAACATTCTGTCAGAATTTTTCTGTAATCCATGAACACCTTCTCACCTTAACCTTAATTGATTCAAGAGACACAAGCCAATTTTGAACAGGTTTAAAGAGATAGAATAAAAAATTTAACATATAAATTTTAGATTTATAAAACTAACTTTATGTGACAGGAAACTAGTCAAAGACAAGAAATCTGTGAAAGAAAAAGAAAAGGTCCCAGAGTTTATTGTAAAACCACGACGTCAGTTTGTCAATGAAGGCCAAACAGCGAAATTCAAGGCTTCGTACGATGATACGCCACAAACCAAACTCACCTGGAGTCGAACTGATGGGGACGCCCTGTCATCAGGTGGTAAATACAAGGTGAGTCATACAGCTGGGTAGACTATAGCACCTGTGAAAGATAGAGCTTTTGTTGTAGCAAATAGATAATCATCACGCAGCTATTATGTTGCATAGTTTATTTTTAAATCAGTTAAGTAACTTGAAGATTTATTATTTAGATTTATGAGGAGAATGACTTTCATTGGCTGGAAGTGCGTGATGTCACAAGTGAAGATTCTGGGAGCTACACGTGTATGATCAGGAACTCTGTCGGCAGCAACAAAGCCGATGTTGATCTAGATGTATATGGTGAGTATATACTCGGGTTGTTTGATAGAAATGTTTATATGGAGTATGAAATACACAAGGTACTACACAAATGTGAAGATACTCAAGATTTTGGACCAAAATTCTTGACAGAAGAAAGTAAATAGAGAGATGTCATATGTCAGGAAATGCTATAGACAAATTAGGAAAAGGATATGAAAGAAATCAGTCTTCAGATGAATGTTGTGCAGTTGTGTGGTGTACGTAAAATGTTTACCCATGAAATGGATATCTTATGTTTAAACAAGGTAAGAAAGAGCTCATATTTTGCAGTAAGGATAAACATATCCTTTTATAGGAGGATAAAATGGAACAAAGACATGCCACAACAGACAGAAAAAGATTGATGTAAAATTTTACTTTCTTGTGTATTCAGCAATAAGCCCATGTCTGGTAATAAGCCCATCCCATCGTTGTTCAGTAGAAATAAGACAACTCCCTTACTTTTAGTCAGAAGTTGTATGATGGCCCCTGAGCTTCAGTGGGTTAAATATGCCTTGTTAACTGTAAGTCATTCAAAAGATTCTTATTCTGTATTATACACATGTAACAAACTTCTGGTTACATATATTTGATATTTATTAAATCTCATTTTGTGTTCTGTATAAAATCTGACACTATATATCTCTAACCATTGAAATGTCATAATTGGGGTATTTAGAAAGCGTGACAGGTGTTTCTATTGCAGTTAACCAATAAATTCAATATATAAATATATTTTACATGTAATAACTCCACCCAATCAATTTGTGATAATGCTCCCTACATTTTTTTTTTCAGAACAGTTAAAAACTTATCTGTCATGATATTTGTTTAAATGAATTTCATTTCAAGTTTTTAAAAAAGTATGCAAATAGTGTACGAGAGGTCAATAAAGCATGCTGTATGAACAGGACATTCTTACATGTTTAACCTTCCCAAAAGGTAGTCATTCAAACATTATGATGTCATTAGCAACAGATGATTCAACATATACCTGTATTTGTCAGCAATTCACAACCTGTCCTCCCACCTGGATTTTATAATTCGTTTGTCAGTATCTGTCGACTCCGTAGTTAAATTGTCTGTTCACCTGGAGAGCTTAATGCTGAAATTTTTCACTGTGCAGGTATATTTCTACAAAATTCATGATTCATATTTAAATTATTTAGAAAAAATTTTCAGTATTTCGACCGACAATAAGTATAGAATAATGTGATTTTCTGACAGAAACAAATCTTGTGTGACTTGAAATGACAATGAATTTCCTGGGCAACTAGATTTTGTGATTGTGTGTGATTTCCAAATATCAGAAATTCATGAAAATATTTGTCAGAAATTGAACAGGATGGTATTTTACACTGATATCTAAATCATTAAGCTACACTGCACTAATATACATGAACACAAGAAAGGTTAACAATGTGTGATTTTTTAAAACTTGTATGATTTATATGTTTTTTTGCCTTAAATTCAAATGTTCCATTGATTACAGTGAAACCTAAGACCACCTCGAAGAAAAGTGGCTTCGTGGCGCCCAAAGTTGACATTCCGCTTAACGACCTTGTTGTTTCTCCTGGAGACAAAAATGTCTCCTTGGAATGTAAATTCTCAAGTAAGTGTTGCTAATATCAACCTAGAACTTAACATTGTTCCTTCATTAATTAAAATAAATTTATAATTCTCCTTCCCACTGGGTGTTTTACTAGCTTATATGTAGACAGTAAAGTTATGACTGTTGTGTTTCATACTTATTATGACTCTCGTAAATTTACTACTGTAAAAATAACATATACCTGTGAGAGATAATTATGAGCTTTTTTTATCTGATATGTTAAATAAAGGATTTTCATAACTAGACTTACTGTAAAACGTTTTGGTTTAGGATATCTCCATCATTTTGGTTTCTGGTCTTTGATAAATCAGGAACTGTTTTTTCCGAATAAAAAAACAAAACATATTTTGGCAATTAAATGTATACTACAATATATAGTGTATCTTGTGTACTGTAGATACGGGGAATAATGATAAATTGTTTTTACAGATTTAATTATACATTTGTTAATTCATATTTATGCTAATTGCTGCAGGAGGTAAGATTTACCGATCTATGATATGCAAACGCCTTGGTTGAGAATCTTTCTTGATATTGAAGTAAACACATGCAGACAGAATATTCAACACAGAAACAATTTTCTGTATTTCTGTTGTCAGATGCTATAGATGCCTCTGCAACTTGGTACAAAGATGGCCGTCTTGTGACATCAAGTTTCCTGACAAAACAATCATTTGATGGACGCCTGGCTCGCTTAGTTTTGACTCGTGTGGCCTCAAAAGACACTGGAAAATATCAGTGTACCGTTACCAACACTGGTGGAGAGGCGAAAACATCTGGCTCTCTCACAGTGTCTAGTAAGTACCTAGCTTAATGGTATGTTGGGGGTGACGGGGGAGAGGACATGTCTGTCTCATAGTGTCTAGTAAGTGCCTACCTAAAAGGTATGTTGTAGGGGGTGGGGTGGACATGTCTGTCTCATAGTGTCTAGTAAGTACCTACCTTAATGGTATGTTGTAGGGGGTGGGGTGGACATGTCTGTCTCATAGTGTCTAGTAAGTACCTAGCTTAATGGTATGTTGTAGGGGGTGGGGTGGACATGTCTGTCTCACAGTGTCTAGTAAGTGCCTACCTAAAAGGTATGTTGTGGGGGGTGGGGTGGACAGGTCTGTCTCATAGTGTCTAGTAAGTGCCTACCTAAAAGGTATGTTGTGGGGGGTGGGGTGGACAGGTCTGTCTCATAGTGTCTAGTAAGTACCTACCTTGATGGTATGTTGGGGGTGGCGGGGGAGAGGACATGTCTGTCTCATAGTGTCTAGTAAGTACCTACCTTAATGGTATGTTGGGGGTGGCGGGGGAGAGGACATGTCTGTCTCACAGTGTCTTCTAAGTACCTACCTAAAAGGTATGTTGTCTCATAGGGGGTACCTAAAAGGTATGTTGTGGGGGGTGGGGTGGACATGTCTCATAGTCTCCTATAGGTATGTTGTGGGGGGTGGGGTGGACAGGTCTGTCTCATAGTGTCTAGTAAGTACCTACCTTGATGGTATGTTGGGGGTGGCGGGGGAGAGGACATGTCTGTCTCATAGTGTCTAGTAAGTACCTACCTTAATGGTATGTTGGGGGTGGCGGGGGAGAGGACATGTCTGTCTCACAGTGTCTTCTAAGTACCTACCTAAAAGGTATGTTGTGGGGGTTGGGGTGGACATGTCTGTCTCATAGTACTTACCTAAAAGGTATGTTGGGGGGGGGGGGGGGGGGGGGCAAGGGGAGGAACTTTCGGTATCACAGTGTGTTGGAAGTACCTACCTAAAAGGTATGTTGTGGGGTAGGGGTGAACATGTGTGTCTCATAGTGTCTAGTAAGTACCTACCTAAAAGGTATGTTGGGGGGGGGGGTGGGAAGGGGAGGACATGTCTGTTTCACAGTGTCTAGTAAGTGCCTACCTCAAATATATCAGAGGAGAGGTAGGGTGGGAGGGGGTTGACTGTAGAGGGGAGGACCTACCTCAAATGTATCAGAGGAGAGGTGGGATAGGGTGGGGGTGGGGGGGTTGACTGTAGAGGGGAGGACATGTCTGTCTTACTTACAGTGTAAAGTAAATACCTTCCTAGAAAACATCCAAACTCCTAAATTAGAATCATATGTTTCACTATATGGCTTAATATTTAAACTGCTTTTACCCTGAATATATAATCTTGTTTCAGATTACTGCAGATTTATTAATTTTGGAGTGTGTTTTATTTTCCTTGGTCATTTTGAAATATAACCATGAACATAATCTATACTCAAATTGATATTTTTTATTTTTATTACTTTGATTTGAATTTTGAGAATTACTAGAATTTGTGTATATTATTTATCAACAAAATCTGGTGTTCATGAAAAAGAATTATTTTGCAAAACCATAAAATTGGAGCCTATAAAAACATGATTGTTTGGTATTGATAGAAAACTTGAATAATGAAAAAAAGAAGTTGTTTGCTGTTTCAAAGCATTGTAGAACAAAGTTTACTTTAATTCAAAATTTTATTTGAATTCTTCAGAAATGTTAGTGTTTGACTCTTTTGTGTACTAATATGTACATATCAATGACATTAGATTAATTCTTATTTATATTTAAGATTGTAACACTTTAAAATTCAATAAATATCCAACGAACATTGATACTTCAATACATCTGAACATTTGTCAATATGTAGAAAGTTCTTATAAATAGACATTGAATGGTTATGGTCTGAATGAGTCAAATCATTGTAACAGGTCAGATGACCTCTCTATCAAAGGCCAGTGTTATTGTATACATACATGTATAGGTACTCATTAAGTCACTCTATTACAGCCAGGATGGTGTTCCTAACCCATTGTGTCAAATTTTATTGTCGTAAACCGATGGAGTACACCCATTGGACTCCGGAAATAAGCCCTTCCATTACATACCCTAACCACAAAATGCTTCAGATTTTTTCCTTTCATAAAACTTATCAACTTTGACGCCTTGAGTGTGAAGGACTTGTGCTTTGCTGCAACACTTACTTATGATGACAAAGTCTTAGTGTGCATTTGTTTGGAATTATATAATGTCGTTTATTGACATATGAATGCAGTTCATTTGTGTATTATTCAGCTATTGACAATTGTTTACGTTATTAAATGTAAAACTATTATATAATGTGTTGTCCACTTAGGACTTCTTGTGATTGAAACCTGTGGACAGTTTGAGAATAGATGTTATTCCTGTGTGACATATAATTGTATTAAGTAGATATCTGGAATAGCAGTGATGTTTTATATATTTTAATATACAAAATAATGGTGAGTTTATATATTCCTGTTTCAAATTTTCATTATGGATGATTGAAAATAATTTGTAAAATGTTTCATTTTTGTGTTTTTATTGTAACAATGGAAATTCATTTCAGTTTTGAATAGAAAATAATTTTATATCAGAAAAGTAAATTTCAAATCTGACATTTAATGTCATGTTCAGAAATCATTTACAAATAATTTTCTATCGTTTTGCTAAACAGTATGGAAATATCAAAAGTCTCTAGCTATGACACACAACAGGATTCAAAACCTTAAATGCCATGTTATGAAATGCTCAAGAACTCAGGTTTGACTAAAATAAGACACAAACGTTTCAGTGATTAAGTTTACTATCCTGGTCATGATTCTCTGTTACATAAATATTTTTCTTTTTGTTGCAGGTGCCGGAACTCGTGCCATTCCGCCCAAATTTGTGAACCCTCTCTCCAACCAATCATTGAGTGTCGGGGATAAACTGGTCCTGGAAGCTAAAGTTACAGGTAAGGGCAGACAACTCACTAGTGATAAAATCTGGTGAATTTGGAAGTCAGAGGTCAGATCTTGAATTTATATAATGCTATGTATTGTATGCCATTTGACTTTGGTTCATACTGAAGAAATCATTACTACTAAGTATTTCCATGTATCTTTCACAACTTTTACATTTTCAAATGACATTCAGCTGGAAATGAAAACCTGTTTCATGTACAAGATAATATATGACATCATATTTTCATTGTGACCTTGACCTTACATTTTTTATTTGTGTCAAGGTTATCCCCGCCCCACAGTGCACTGGTACAAGGAGAAAGAGGAACTCACTTCCACAGAGGCAAGCACAATGGAGTTTGATGGATCTACCGTAAGACTCGTCATGCCACACGTCAAGGCCACAGACAGCAGCACCTACAAATGTGTGGCCGAGAATGAGGCCGGCAAAGATCAGATCAAGGCGAAGATCACCGTCACATCAAGTACGTACCTGTTCTGTTGCCCTGATAAAAAAACTCCTATAATTTAGTCTGTCATTAGTTTTAACTGTTAATAACCTATTAATATTTTATATAAAGTAATTTTCCAGTCTCAACCGTTTTATTGCAAGAAAAAAATGTTGTTGATTAACCTTCAGCAGATTGAATCTGATGAAATTTGGCTTTCATATATGTTATGTTGTATTTGTTTTTGTTTCCATAGCAACAAAAGATCAATCAACCGATGATTTCCGAGAACCACCAACATTTGTTCGGGAGTTACATGACATGGAGGTTGACAATGGAGACCGGGTGGAGCTTTCCGTGGAGGTCAAAGGTAAGTTTTCCTAGATGAATCATGCATGTTACATATTCACCATGTTTTCTTCGGGGGGAAAAAAATTGCTGTAAACTGAAGATCACATCAGATTTTGTTTTATTTTCATTTATTTTTTTTTTGTAGATCAAGATATCAAGTCTGTCAATAAATAATTTCAGTTTTTAAAAAAAATAAAAATTTGTTTCTGTGTATTAATTTATGTTAAATACTTTTTATAAAACATGGTGGATATCTCCAGTTAAAGTTTTGATGTTTTTGGTTGTGTTAGATTCATTAACAAGTAGTTCAAGTGATGAGTTCTTTACACTAATAAGTAGAAACACAGATATGTGTAGAACACTGTACAGTTATGTGTTAATCTATATGTGTATCATTGAAATTGCATCAATTATAATGTTTTTAATGAAATTTATTTAAATGATTTACATGTTTCTGTTGTTGAATTTGTTTTTTTTTTTAAATGTTTCCTTATAACTCCTTGATATTAAAATTTGTAATTTTTTCATGATTTATTGAATGTTTTATTGAATACTTATTTGCATAAAGAGTTAAAAGTTCTCTCCCTTCTACCGACAGAAATAGACGCTAAAAATGTTTTGTTTGTCCGGATGATAAAAGCAATACCCAAAAAATACTTGAAGAAACTTTTTAAACAAGAAAATCTTTCTTATAAATAAAAATGATGGAGAGCCTTATTCAATCAATATATTAAATAAATATGTATCTTAAAATTGACCATGTTATTTTTGCTTTCCTAGCATTGTGAAGGTGTCTAAAAGGTACAAAACAAATTAAAGATCTATGTCATTTCTGTGATTCACTTTATGTTTCATTTTTATATACAGTTATTAGGTTTTGCAATCTTTTTAGTTATTTTTGAGAAGGAAAGTTGGTATTAGGAGATGTACAAATCTGAGGAGAATTTTAGTTCCAGTTACTGGTCCCTGGCATCATGAAATTATAACTTCACTAAAGTCGTCTAAACATTCCTTTATATGACGAATCTGCATGACAAAATCTGAAGCTGATTTAATAGATGATGTTCATATACAAAGGTTCTACTGTGCTATACTTATCAGGCCAATGTCATGCATTAGAAGTACCCCCACCCAACCCCCACAATGCATAAAATGTACCCCCACCCACCCCCCACAACACTTAAAATGTACCATCACCCACCCCCCACAACGCTTAAAATGTACCCCTCTTTAGAAAAATATTCAATTTTATTTCCAAAGTACAAGTATTTAAATTGAGGTCATTGGATATGGGGGGGTGGGGGACATTGCCTACTGCTAATGATTAATGTACCAACCAAGTGAGCACCCCAGTATATGAAAACTTAAGCAAGATTTTAGGTAGAAAAAAGAAATGATTGGGGTTCCCGATTTCATGCATTGTTCTATGAATTCAGGTAAGTTTATGATGATTTAGGATTTCAAGATAGTTGTTACCATTTGAAATAAATTTGAAGAAATCCTACAGATTAGAAATGTTTGTAATTGTACATTTATGTTATGCATGCTCCTGGCCTCCGTTTCAGGCATGTCACCTGTGGATGATGTTCTATGGTTGCATGACAATAAGAAAATATCTACCAGTGACCCGTTTGCCAAAGTTATGTCGCATGGTAATATTCACGAGCTGCATATTTCAAAAGCCATTTGCACGGACGCTGGGCAATATATGTGTAAAATACAAAGTGAGGCAGGTGGTGCAGAAACACACTGTCAACTCTGTGTGTCAGGTAATGTATGCACGTGACCTTTAATGTAGAGGGCATGACCTATGGGGTCAGTTTTTTTTGTCTCTTCAAATTCAGGGCCTGGCATGTGTTTGAACAGACAAAAGTAAACCCCTGCATGGAGTGCATGGAGACATGTTATCTATACAGATTCAGGGCTACAGCCCTGGTTTTTATGTGTAGACAAATGCATGGATTGGCAATTACATCTAAAATGAAATATTTATTTTTTGAGAAAATGTTTTTAAAAACTCTTAAAAATAATTTTTTATTTTAAATTATTAAATGAAATTAAGATTTCTACATTTGACTATAGCTACACTCTATTACCAACAAGATGATTAGATGGGATTGCCAGTTCTTTGCAATGCATGTCATAAATGCATGCAGTTGAGGTTCAAAGGTCAAAATTCTTATTTGGAGTGTCAAGAAGTCTCTGAGATAATCAAATCAATTGTTTTGAAATCAATTGGAGAACACAAAAAATGAAATTTTGACTTCTAATCTCAACTAGAAAATTTTATTTCTCATCTGAATCCAGGTATTGTCTAAAAAAAAATTTAGTTAAAAATATTCAGATTGTAAAAAGAAATGTTTTATTTGACTGTTTAGATTTCTATGTAATGTAAAGTTCACAACTGCCTGTACCTAACAGATGAGAAATAGAATATTCAACTCCTACATGTCATTGAAGCAATTCTAATTGGTTCTTTTTATCTTTTTCTCTTTCACAGAATCTGACCGCTCCCGGTCTTACCTCCAAACGAAAACAAGATCTACCTAGAAAACACATCCTCTTACTTTTCTGTCTTTTTAGTTCTTTTGTTTCTTTCTTATTTTTAGTTTCTCTTTCTCTCTTTTTGAAAACATTCCATATAATGTTATTTCAATTAATTTTATTTCAATATCTTCCTTTTATTTTCAATCTTTTCATTTTTTTTCATTTCTTTTTTTTTTTTTTTTAATTTTGAATCCAAAATCCATTTTATACAGAGCGTAAAATAGACAATCTTATACCAGAGGAACAAATAACCAACACAAGGAATATTCCAAGTGAACATATGAACAACACGTTTGAACAACTGACAGTCAATAATTTGAACAATGAAAGTGAACATTTTACAAAAACGATGGAAGACAAATCCGTCTCCAACGAAGACGACAATGTATTCCGTGATCAAAAGAATCTAAAACCACCAGGATTTATCTTACGACCAAGAACAGCATTTGTTAGTGTCGGGAATAGTGCAATATTTCTGTGTAGGGCATCTGGAATACCACCACCTAGTGTAGAATGGAGTAGGGAAGGGGAGAAAATCACTAAACAAGACAAATATAAGGTAGGTATTGATTTATTTTGACAAAATAATTTTTTTTTTTTTTTTAAGTATAAAAGTTTTAATTTTGTATTGATTTTTTAATTTTTTTTTTTTATTATATGTTCTGTTTCTTATTTATTGGCTAACTGGCCACATTCATAATTGTAACAGATTGTAAACATTAACTGCCCTGGTATGAGGGAGATATGATATTTCATTTACCTGAGATATATTGTATTAATATTGTATTGATATAAAACTTAAATGTTAGATAAATACTTTGATTTATAAAAACAATAAAAATACTCTTGACATGATGTGTTCCACTTTGTCAAAATAATTATCAAATATTTTATAAATGATCCGTCTTAGACTTGACCAGAAATGAGAAATACACATGTACCAGATCATGGCATCTTAATTTTCTTCTCGTTTAGATAAAAAATGGGGAAGACAATTTACTGGAAGTAAAATGTGTGTCAGAGTCAGACGTGGGAACCTATACTTGTACCCTGAGGAACCCAAGCGGTACAATATCCACGGACACCAGACTTGTACTAAGTACACACGACGTAACTGGACACACACAAAACCAGAGTCAGAATCTTAATAGTCCTGTGCTGAAAAAAACGTGAGTTCAGTATTCAGAATCATTCTTGTTTTTACTGTCACTGTTAAAATATCTTTGTTGAAAGGAATCATATGTCATATAGATGCTACAGGACAAGGTCATCCACCAAAAGATCTGCGTTAACAGTGTTTACTGTTTAAATATAATGCAAATACATAAGAAAGAAAAAGATGGACGCCTCGAAAAAACGACATTGATAGAAAAAAATTCATAGTTCATTATATGATTTCTTTGAATAATAAATCATTGTACCATAAAGCTATGATAAAATTGCAAAAGTTTTATGCCAGAGTCTTAACTTACTTGTTTTATAAACATAGCATATCTATTATTCATTCCTTTTTCTACAGATCTCTTCTAGAAAGTGCCAAATCATCTTCACAAAGGGAGATGAAACCAGACTTTGTTAGTATCAAACTACGCAAAACAGAAAAACATGAAACAAAGTTACTGGATACAACTCAGAAAGTGCCTGATGTGAAACCAGTTCCAGTTTTTTCTTTAAAAAAGAACAGAAACACCGAAGATTCATCTGTTTCATCACAACATCACAGACAATTAGATGAACCTCAAATATCATCAAGACCATGCAGAAATTTAGAAGAATCGCCAGTTTTATCAAGACAGCACAAAAATTTAGAACAATCGCCAGTTTTATCAAGACGGCACAAAAATTCAGAAGAATCGCCAGTTTTATCAAGACGGCACAAAAATTCAGAAGAATCGCCAGTCTTATCAAGACAGCACAAAAATTCAGAAGAATCGCCAGTCTTATCAAGACAGCACAAAAATTCAGAAGAATCGCCAGTTTTATCAAGACAACACAAAAATTTAGAACAATCGCCAGTTTTATCAAGACGGCACAAAAATTCAGAAGAATCGCCAGTTTTATCAAGACAACACAAAAATTTAGAACAATCGCCAGTATTATCAAGACAGCACAAAAATTTAGAACAATCGCCAGTTTTATCAAGACGGCACAAAAATTCAGAAGAATCACCAGTTTTATCAAGACGGCACAAAAATTCAGAAGAATCACCAGTCTTATCAAGACAGCACAAAAATTTAGAACAATCGCCAGTTTTATCAAGACAGCACAAAAATTCAGAAGAATCAATTCTTTCATCTAAACAGCACGGACAATCGGCCAGCTCTTCAGGATCCGATAGTTCTGACCTGGGTTCGGATAGGGGGAGAAGAGCAGGTGCTTCCCCCAGCTGGCTTATAGATATAAACTCTACCCCAAGAGGTTCTCTCGGTATGAGAGGAACATACCCTAGAGTGCCTCTAGATACAAGAGGTAATTCACCTGCCAATCCTAAGAAAACTGGAGTCAATCAAATTGATTTCAGAGATGTGTTGAAGCCTCGAACAGGACACCAAGTGTCGCAGACTGTTAAAGAGCCAATCACTCGTTATGTAACTAAACCTTCCCAAAGTCCAATCAAAAACAGTATTGCAAATTTGAAAAGTCCAGTTATGATCAATGGTACAAAAAGTGCTTCGAAGTCAGTTCCAGATCGGAAAGTGTCCAGGGGAAAGGTTTCCGAGTTTATAACAGCACTGGAAAAACCAACTGTATCTCAAACTGTGAAGGAAAATGTTGAGCCAGTAAAAGTGACACCTGGAAAGGTTAATGAAACAGTTTCAACGAAATTCACACCGTTTCTTTCAGATAAACAAGTGAAATCCAAATACTCATCTGGTAACATAGACGAACAAACAAAATCAAAACGTACACCTACTAAAGTGGATGAATCTGTGAAAACTGACTCTACCTCCGGAAAGTCCAAGAGGCTAGTTACCCATGAACCAATCAAAAGTGAGATATCACCCACCGTTAGAAAAGAAACTCCACCCCCTGCTTTGAAAAAAATCCCACCACCTGTGGCTCCTAAAGCCAAACGTCAGGAGAGAATTGAAAAAGCCCTGGAAAAGATTGATGAAATTAATCAATCCATTCTGCAGATGCCAGGCGGGCCGCCAATGAAAGAGCTTCTAATGGCGGTGGATGATGAGGAAAGTGCCTCAGTGACAACAGAGGATAGTTTTGCTGACTCTGATTCTTCGTTTCCTAGCAATACAGCCCCGTCCTGGGTGAAGGAACATTTTGATAATCAAAGTGTACGAAACACGCCCTCTAGTGGATTCTCTAGTCTTAGAAGTAATAATTCGAGTGAAAATCTTTTAGAACCATATTCTTTAGAAAGTGATGGTTCTACTGTACACTCGGAGACAAATGATAGTGGAATTGTACGTGCTACTCCAGCTGTGCCCTACACACCAATTACACTGAAAAACCCGAAGAAATCAGGGAACACGTCTGTTACAACAAGTCAAACGTCTGAAAAATCAGAATCGTCTCAAAAATCAGACACAGAAAATGTTAAGATGACAAAATTAGAATTTGAAGGACCTGTATCAACGGCAGTTGAAAAAACCACACCAACTGTTACTTTAAATGGTGTACGTTCCCGACGACTATCAACTGATTCTGATAAAAGCAAACGAACACCATCAAGTCCTGAACACAAGGAGATGCGATTGGTTAGAAGTCGCAGCATTGACAAAGTCAACAACCAACTGCCATCATTTCTGACAATGCTGGAGGATATTTCAATTCCTGAAGGACGATGCGTTATATTTGAATGTCAAGTTACGGGAATTCCAAGACCCGAAGTGTCCTGGTTTATGAACAACAATAAGATAAAGGTAAGTTTCACAATATTTGTTAAAAAAAATTATAATGTGTCAGACTAATTAGCATTTTTTTACTTTTAAAATTATATGAGAACATTGTCATATCACATGTCAGGTATGTATTTGTGTATAAAGATCTGTGAAGTTCATCAATTTCCAGTGAAGCGTAAAAAAAAAGAATAAAAATTCTGAATGCAAAAACTGGACATTGTGTCCTGAGAAACATATTAAAATGTAAATAAAGCCAATTCATACACATGTGACATTTTTAACAGTCAATAATTTGCAATGTCACCTATTGAAATTTTACAAGGCAAATCTTTTCTGAGATGTTATCAAGGATTTTATCTGAAGGAGTCTCCATGATTAAATTTGAATTTTACCGTACTGGTAGGAATTTGAAGATCAATCATACCAATCTTTGTTTCAGGATTTTCACATAGTATAAATATTACCTGTAATATCATAGTACATATAATACCTGTGGTAAACATAGTATTTATAATACCTGGAGTAAACATTATATAACCCTGGTAGATGTTTCTTATCTGTTTGTGCTTTTCTGAGTAATCGAGATAGATTAATCGGAGCTTAACCCACTACAAATAATGGTTAGTATGATATAAGCCTGACTAACCACTGACTACCAGTCACACTTGACCGATCACACGCTTGCCTGATCAGAGCTCAGTATCGGATGGCTATTAAGTATTTATTTTCTCAATTAAGATTGTTTACAAGATTAGATTGTGACATTTGTGTTTCATGAAATGATAGTTTACCTTATTGAATGAACTAGCTACATGGTATTTGAGTGAAAATTGTCCATGTGTCCCAATTTACAAAAGATCAGAAACCTACATTATCTGTTACTCACCGAATTGTTAGCTTAATGAGTGATGTGTGAAATAAAGAAAACTTTTTTATGCATATTTTCTTCCGAATGTGAAATCCTTGTTGTGTTTCTTTGTTTTTTCCTGAAAATGATTTTGTTTTCATGCTATGGAAAGAAATTGGAGTGAAAGAAGAACAATAAAGATGATCAGGTTTTATAGATATGCTGTAAAATTGCTATATGTTTGCTCTTTTTTCCATTGTTATCATATTTCAATATTAGATAAAACAATTCATATTTTTTCAAATTCTGTTTACTCAAAAGTAAATGATTTCATAGTTAAGTCAAATAAAAGAAAATATGTATAAACATACTTGTTTATTTTACACAAAATGAAATCTTGATATGAATAATAAAATGTTATCAAGCTAACAATGCTTTAAACAAGGCAAGTCAATTATAGTATAAACCATCTGCTGCTGTGCTAGTGAATATATACAGCATAACATTGGGCAGATATATGATAGATAGTTAGTAGTATATTTCTGTGACAGACTGGTTGTAGGTGATAATTCTCCAGCGGAGTGAATCTTAGTGTTGTTGATTCACAGAGGTACCAAATGCATTGTAATACTTAAATTGTCTAATTGTTAAATGACTGAAGAAACTCTTATCATATCATATTATATTGTATGATGTTTTGTAATGAAAAGTGACATAAGTTACTAATTGTTTTTTTCAGCCCTCCAAATTTTTTCAAATGACGTATGTAGAGGACACGGCTAGACTAGTTATAAAGGGGGCGTATCCTGAAGATGACGGAGAATACCTGTGTGTGGCGTCTAACTGTGTCGGCACAGAACGTCAGTCCTGTACCCTCTGCGTCAAAGGTACGCAGGTTATTGAAATTGTAAAAATTATGAGATGTTGAAATACTGAGGAGACATATATTTATAAGTGTTTATTTTCTGTTTGAGGACTTTTAGTCATATCAATAACTGTTTATGATAAGAATACGGAAAACTGGGTATTGAACCTGCTTCAAACACTCTGAAATGATGATTGAAGAGAAATCTTGTAGAACTTCACGCATTCATTATTCACTTGAAATTTCAAAAGAAAAAGGATTTTGTTTTGAGAAATATGTTATTATCTAGAATTGAGTTCATATCATAAAAGGAAATGGGGATTTGAATGACAGTTCTATGTAAAGTAAAACTGGAAATCAGGTGAAAAAGGAGATTTCATATCAGAAAATGTCTTATCTTAGAATGCCATGCTGTGTCTGCAAAGGACGACAACACATCAGAAACTGATGGACACCAAGCCCCGCATATCCACGAAATCTCACCGCCAAATCTCACCGTCCTGCGTGGAAAAAAAGCACAAGTCCAAGTCTCGTTTACCGCTGAACCACAGCCAACCATCACCTGGTTACAAAACAAGGTCAAAGTGGAAACGGACGACAGGTACACGATAAGTACGACCGAGCACTTCAGTCGTCTTGTCATTGAGAATGTGACTCTCGGTGATGCGGGGATCTATGATATTGATGTTGAAAACGATGTTGGAAGGGACACAGGATCAATGGCTATCACAGTGGAAGGTAAGTAGCTTGTACACTTTTTCCTCAACTGTTAAATCAATCCAAACAGCTTAAATCATACATCTGAGGATTAATAAATTCTTGTTGTATCTTCAAATTTACCAGGAGACATGATTTTTTAATAAAAAAAAAGAAAAATTTTAGATGTTATGTTTTGATTGGTTTTTTGCAAAAGTTTGGGATCAGGAATTTTACATCAATTTTCTCTCTTTTGACCAATTTTTAACAAGGGTGCTTTTTTTATTTTATTTCATTTGATCTTTTTGCTAGCAAAGGCAGATATTGAATCTGAACTTGAAAATCACTCAGCCTGGATATGTTTTCTTCAGTTCTAATATTAATCATGTTTTTTTTTATGTTTTTGATTTTCACTTTAATACTTTTTTAAAAAAATTATTTTTCAATGATGAATTTCTTTAGCTTTGCTTGTTAAGCCAAGAATGTTGGATTTGGTGATTCTGTTTGTAGGTGATTTAATGTCATAAATTGATATCACCTATATGTTGATATGTGTAGTATCATGTGTACACATACTGCCAGCCCCAATAACTGCTGTTTACATAGAAAGTGTTGACTTTTACAACGTTCCATCAATATCTGACAGAGTTATGGCCCCTTATCACTTAGGATAATAGATACTCCTACCAAAACGTTTGCTAAGTCCCAGTTCTGTTATATATATGTACCAGACCTCCAAGGAGGTAAGCTGTATTCCTTTAGGATCTTAAACCAAATCATTAGTCTAGTCTCAGATTTATTCTTCAGTTACTGACCCTCCATAAGGTCATTTATATGTTCATCAAGTCTTTTTTTTTTCTGAACCTCCATAAGGTAATTTATATGCTGATAAAAACTTCCGTTTGTTGTGTAGATGTTCCAGACCCACCAATAGGGAAGCCGTATGCTTCAGAGGTGGCGCTCACCTATGTGATCCTTTCCTGGTCTGGCCCTGCCTTTGATGGAGGCAGTCTCATCACAAACTACAAAGTGGAAATGTGTGAGGCAGAATACCAGGAATGGTCTACCCTTACTGATAAATGTCATGTAAGTTAATATGTTGTGTGAGAAGTATATACACAGCTGAGTGGAAGTTTTTTTTGTTACTTTCCACTGTCTTTGATTAAAATCTGAAAATTTTTACGGAATGTATTGATTTAAAGTTCTAGCTATATCACAGCTGCCGTAAAATGTTGACCTCTGTTTGACCTTTCTGTTTGATCTATTACAGAGCACTTCATACCATACAGCAAATCTATCTCCACACACACCTTACTTTTTCCGTGTGAGTGCTGAAAACAAGCATGGCATGAGCAAACCTAGCGAGACATCCGATGTCGTGGTTACCAAAGATCGTCGAGTTGCAGACCGTCTGTCCATTGAGTCTGACGGTAAGTGTCACACTAATGTCAAGGTCATTTCCATATTTCAATGTCATCCACTGTATTATGACCTCCCATAGGTGTCATTGAACACTCTAACATCTTCTATATTGATGTATTGCTTAGTATTGTCATCACTGTTTGTAGTGACACCTGGAGATGTATTAACTAAGGGTAGTTTTATTCAAATTTCATCTAGAAACTCAAACTGCATGTCACAAACACCTTGGAATAATTTGAATTGATGCATGTTACTGAACTTGTAAAATTCAAGTGGGAAATAATTTTTGAAATTCTTGTTATTTTGTCCGAAGTAATTTTCCTATGGTATCAAAGTCCCAGATGTCACCTATTGTATGTTCATACACCCATGAAGTGTCATACTTGTGAGCTTTTCATTAGCATTTCATTTGGAAGAAGGGAAATGATTAAAAACTGCTTAAAATGGTATTACCATTGAGTAAACTAAAACTTACTTTGGATAAAAAAGAAATTGAGGAACAGAAGATCAACTGAACCCTACTGATTTGAAAGAAATAAGAGTGAAAATTCAAGGGAGATAATTGCAAGTAGAGACACTTCGACAGTAGGAACTATGTCCTTGCCACAGTGATGACTGCATCTTCGATTATCTTGTGACAATTGCATTGTCCATTATGATATATCTTATTGTCAGTATATGAGTACTAATCATGCAGTGTCTATATACAGAATTTTATGTCACGCTAACTTTACCTCAACAGTCACTCTGCTTATGACATCCTTGATCATACTATATTTCTTTAATGCATGAGCAAATCTATGGGGTTGAAAAGTAGAAATCTATAAGATTTAATTTTAAGTAATTTTCGTTTTAAAGAGAGAAAAAAGGTATGGATATCCTTGAAGATTTTCAGTCTCTATATACATGTAGCACCTTTGATGAAAATGTAGCCAATCAGATTTTTTAGGTTTTAATATATTTTTTAATGAGGTCAATGGAATTTTCTATTATCATAGGTGACAATTAAGTAATAGTTTGCCAAGACAACTGTGAGGGTGATTAGATAAATAGATGTCATGTGATCATTATTGGGTGCAAGGCATCATGGGATTTGGTCATCAGGCATGCATGTTGTTTGGTATGTGTGTTTGACACTTTATCACCAAGGTAACATTAGGACCTGGACAGATTAACTAACAAAAATGGCAGGACTCGAGTTTAAATTCTAATTTTTGTGACGTTCTGAGCCTGTAGTCTTGTATGGCATTAAATTTTCAGAAGTTTTTCTGTCGTCCACTTCGACAGCCTCTGTTTCACCGTTCACTCCCCTCTCTCCGCAAGGTAATGTCGCTGAAATTCACACACATCATTGTGTGGCATGTTGCCAAAGTAACAATTTCATATCCAAATCTGCATGCTCTGTATAACTCAAAACTCCATTTACTCAATGAAACCTTGTCAATCTACAATCAACATATTAAATTGTCTATGAAAGATTTCTGAGTTACTTCATACATCAAAATTTGGATACGTTGTCAGGCGCATTATAGAAAGCTGTGTACACATTACCACAAAATCAAGTAAATTATTTGCTAACTCGTCCTGATTTCATAAGGGTTTTTTGGTATCGCACAAGGATTTTACTCCTGCACATTGAGCAGGAAGCATCTATTTTCTGTATCCTCAATTCATTCCTACCTGTGAATGCCTCAAAATCGCTTGGCTATACACCTCATTTCATTGGTTTTCTTATCACATTTCAAATGCCAAAATAATGCATTCTCAAGAAAGAATTGCTTAATCCAAAAATATAACTTTTTCTTTATAAGTCATTTACTTCCATTATATTTACAACTAGCATTATAATGTCTAAATGAGTAAAAGTTTTTATGAGATGTAGATTCACAAGGTTTCGCTATTCATCCACATCAAACAAAGTCTTGTTGCAGTCAACACTATTACCAAGGGAAGTAACTCTAGATGAATTTTACTTCTGCCTTGTCCAGTGATTTTTTGATTTCAACAAGATTTGACATTTCCTCCATTAAGTATGTGTCATTATTTCTTTTTCACTGTAATAAAATGTTCACAAACAGCATATATCCTACACAGATGAATAGCCGTTAATGTTTTATATTTCTGTTAACGTCTCCTGCATCTTTCCATCAGTTACAAAAATACTGACAAAGTCCTGTTCTGAACTGCTCAATGGGAACTCCTTCACCTGCAGTGACTATACTTAGCATGGCTTCAGCTAAACTAAAAATTAAAACCAGAAACGGAAAGCATTTAGATAAAAAAAAAATATCAATTTTATTATATTTCTATAAGAAATAAGATAAAGTTATTGTTTGGAACTTGTGAAATATTTGATTATTTCACAATAAAAAAGTTCAGCTGTTTATATATTCACATAAGCAGATAACATTCATTTTCACCTTTAATAAGGACCTGTATCGTTTTCCCCTGCCTAAGAAGTCTTTCAACAATTATGAAAGGGGGCATGCCTATCTTAGCTATCCTTGGAGAACTTAATCTTAATGAAGATTTTCGGTCATCAACATTTAAAAAGACCCGTTTTTCCTAAAGGAGCATGCCCCGTTTCTGTGATTACCCATTGTTGTATTGGTCCATTGGTGTATTTGACCAATAACAGAACTAATGGTGGTTTGTATTTTGATTATAATGAATTTAACTTTTGGTGGTTTAGTCTTCATCAGGGTATTTTTGAAGTTTACAATCTTTTGCATGTTTGTTGAAGTTTTCCTTTGTGTGTTTTTTTTTTTTTTTCGAAAATTAAAATTCATATACAATATCGATGATTTTTTTCTGAATGTCAGTATTATGGTGACGGATTTAATTTGTTAATAAAAAAATGTTGATTTATTGTTTATAGAAATCACATAGCTATATTATGTTCACATTTTTATATCACTTTTTATTAATACTCTAATGAAATTTGAGCTTTTTAAAATCATAACGGTTTGAAGATAATTCTCTGTAAGCACCAATAATCCAGTTATTGAAAGAGTTAAGTTTATATTTTGTATAAATGCAGTGGAAGATTAATTAGCTGGAACATTTTATTTTTAGAATTTAATATTAGTGGTCTCAGAAGTTAAGATTCAACAGCTGAGGAAAGAACCATGTATATATACAATGAGCTGAAACCTTGATTCACTCAATCTCTCAAAATAGTAAATTTTTCCTCTAATTGGACGAAAAATGAAATATCCAAAATTTGTAAAGAACATATATCCCCTCCCCCCGTTTTTTCTTTGAAAGATATTCTGAACTATATATATATATATATACATGCATATAATGTGTTAGGTCAATCAATGTGAAGGTAAACTCTGACTTATATCAAGGATTTAACTTTAAAAAATTATGACTTCTGAACTTTGACCTGTGTTAACAGAGGAGGAACCAGGGATCCCATTCAGTCCCCGATTAGTGTCCGTTAGGATGGATGTTAAATTTGAAGAGTTGTACGACCTTCAAAATGAGGTTGGAAAGTAAGTATGATTGGCATGTTAAGCAATATACTAAAAATTCAATTAATTTTCACTTTTAATCTTTGATCGAGTCGTTTTGAAATTTCAATCCTGCTCATTAGTTCATTTAATTCGGATTGCTTAAATCATTGCTTTTTTTTTTAGACAAAATGTCAAATTAAGATCATGCCAATGAAATTTATAGAATTTCATTTGATCAAATCACTCCGACAACATTTATTCTTAAAAACAAAGACCTGGAAATTTTCAAGCCTCGTCAAGATTGAATAATGAAAATATCTAACAATTTTCAGAGGAAAATTTGGTAATGTCCACATATGCGTTGAAAAAGATGACCAGGATCAGAAAAAATGGGCTGCAAAGGTCATCAAATGTCGTGGCAAGGACAAAGCAGCTGTACAGCGAGAGATTGAGATTATGAACCAACTGATTCACCCCAAACTATTAATGTTACGCGATGCCTTTGAGACAGCAAGAAAAATGGTACTTGTAATGGAATAGTAAGTAAAACAGTCCTAGATTCTATTTCTCCTTATCATGTTTACAGTATAGGGGGGCTGTCCTGAGGTTCTCAAACTTTATCCTTATAGAGGCCTCATCAACCAAATTATTAGAAACTGCCCTTACTCTATTTCACATGTAATATACACTCAGAAATTTTATAAGACAACCCATCTTATTCCAGAAATGTCAAACCTTTTTCTTTAAAACGTGATAGAAACACCTTGATTTTAAAGTAAGAGATAATAAGTTTTAAGTTTTATCCTGTTTTTAGTGTGGGCGGTGGAGAACTGTTTGAGCGAGTCGTTGATGAGGATTTTGACCTGACTGAACGTGACTGCGTGCACTTCCTGCGCCAGATATGTGAAGGAGTTGATTACATGCATGGCAAGTCCATCGTCCACCTTGACCTTAAGCCAGAGAACATCCTGTGTATACGGAATGACAGCAATTTGATTAAGATCATAGATTTTGGCCTCGCTCAATTCCATAAACCTGGAGAAAGCCTTCGTGGTATTTCAGGAACACCAGAATTCATAGCTCCGGAAGTTGTCAATTATGAGGAAATCGGATTGCAGACAGATATATGGTCAATAGGAGTTATCTGTTATGTCTTGTAAGTAGCTACGCAATGTATCCTACATTCTGGCTAAGACTTCAATATGTTACCATATATTGTTTAGTCTTTAATGACATAAATACTTAATTTCGTTGTTGTTCTATTTCATGGACACACTTTATATGGTAAACACTTCATATGGTAAACACTTTATATGGTAAACACTTTATATGGTAAACACTTTATATGGTAAACACTTTATGTGGTAAACAGTTTTTAATTTGGATTCAGATTCTTTCTAATATAATATTCTAAGCAAGAATCCTTATCAATATAGAAATTTAGATATCATTATCCTATCACTCAAAAAGTTTGTTATGATTGATAAATTCTGACTGTCTGTACAGAAAGTGACGACACTTTTTCTGTTTAATTTATTGGAAAAATTAAGGATTTCGGATAAAAAAAACACGACAACAAAATTAAGACACAAAAAATGTATTTATTGTAGTCTTAACTTTTACCATCCTTTGTTGCATTTCAGGCTGTCTGGATTGTCTCCCTTTATGGGTGATACTGATGCTGAAACGCTATCGAATGTAACTGCAGGTGAATTTGATTTTGATGATGAAGCCTTTGAGGACATCTCCAATCATGCCAGGGATTTTATAGAGAAAGCTCTAAACCTCAACAGGCAGTAAGTAGATGTACTTAGCAATCTTGGTATCAATTAGTATCAGGAATCACTATACTGGTTTTCTGCAGTGTCTAGAATATCATAAACATTACTAATTAGAAGTTTTTTTATTTCAAACTTTATATTAGATATTTCAGAAAAACAGATTTAGATGAAGATTTTTATGTCCAGTTCAAAAATCATTAGATATCTTAAGTACTATTTTCCCTTAGTATCATGATCTTCTACATTATAAATTGATTAAAAATATATCTTTTGAAATGTGAACATACAAACATTTCAGAATTAGACCCAGTGCCAAAGATTGCCTCAGCCATAGATGGCTAGTGAAAGAACAAAACAGTGCCAAAAAACTTCGCCAAAGTCTTCGCAATTTGAAACAGTTCATGGCGCGACGCAAATGGCAGGTAATTATGTTTTTGACTACAGAGTCGAGGCAAAAACATCTGACATAGAACTGTAAAAGTCCTGTGTTTCAGTATTAATGTAAATCAGAAGAAGTTATATCACTTGAAAAAAAGAAAGGTACTGGGATAATATGCCTTTTTTAAACATGGTAAGACAGTGTGCATTTTGTCTCTCAAACATCAAAAACTTCATGATTATTTTCATAAAGACAGAAAATTTCTCAAAAATTGTGTTTGTGTTAATTATTTAAATCTGAATGTTAGAAGTAGAAATTAAGAATTTTCTATTTGTGTTTATATATTTACATATGTTGATAATCTTAAATGGCTGTTGAATGACAAAGGACATTAACAGTGATAGAACTATTACTAAAATAAGGACATCAACTTTTATTTATTTCATTCATATATATACTTAACATCTTCTAATATACTAAAGACATCTATATTGTATTTACCTGTACAATATCCCAAACTCATGCCTTATTTGTTTCAATGACTAACATAGATAATAACTTCTCTGCCAACAATAGCCCCATCCCTTTGCCATACTTAAACTGAAAACGAAAAACATTTTAATCTTGTCCAGTATAAAGGTGTACAGATGTTACTGGCCCAGTATAAAGATGTACAGATGTTACTGGCCCAGTATAAAGGTGTACAGATGTTACTGGCCCAGTTTAAAGACCCAGTATAAAGACCCAGTATAAAGGCCCAGTATAAAGACCCAGTTTAAAGGTGTACAGATGTTACTGGCCCAGTATAAAGGTGTACAGATGTTACTGGCTCAGTATAAAGACCCAGTATAAAGGTGTACAGATGTTACTGGCTCAGTATAAAGACCCAGTATAAAGGTGTACAGATGTTACTGGCCCAGTATAAAGGTGTACAGATGTTACTGGCCCAGTATAAAGGTGTACAGATGTTACTGGCCCAGTATAAAGACCCAGTATAAAGGTGTACAGATGTAACCCTTGTTTTTCTATTCTATAGTCTGATGTATCTGACTCAGATTAGGTAAGACTGTGTGTTGGCTTGATATCAGGAGAGAGAGAAGAAATAGCTTCAACTTCTCGGAGATGTAGTGATCAGGTATCATAACTGATGGAAGCTGATGTTAACTTTATTTTATCTCAAGAAAAAATCTTAAATCAGCAATAAAGACAGTCTTCTGCTTTTTAAAAAAAAAATTTGGAGAGATTTTCTCATATGGCATTCATGTTCTTGTAATGGCCATGGTCATATATAAGTAAAGATGACAGTAAGGGTAAGCATCAGTGAATGGAATAAAGAATGAGGATTTTATATCTCATTTACAGAAGATATCAGATTCCATGGTTATCACTCTAGTGTAGTCATTGAAATTGTAATAATATGACGAACTCCATGGGATTTTCCTAAAATTTATTAGCAAATATGTTTCGAGTGTTTGGAAGGGTTTTTTCTTCATGAAATTGTGTGAAGTGTTTATTAGTAAACAACTATTTTTTACCACAACTAAAAACTTGAAAAAATGATATTAATTTGAAGAAAGAAATTATTTTAATCTAAGTTACTGAAATTATTCAAAATCATTTTCTTCTTTACATCTTGAATATTTAAGTATGCTGCAAGAACTTCACACTGTCATTTTAAATTTTGTTTGGTGATCAAGAACTTTGTTTTCTTATCTAGACCTGAATTTGTTCTATGGCCTTGAACTTTGTTCTGTGATGACCTTGAACTTTGTTCTGTGACCTTTGAACTTTGTTCTGAGATTTTCTTCTTTCCTCTATCAAGCATCACAACTTATGTAGGCTGATCACGCATATTAGCATTTGGTAATGACATCACAGTAAGATTCTAATACAAAAAACTGTCGTGTCATCATCAAACGGCCAAGCAAACTTCAGCTTACTGTATCATACTTGCCTCTGAGTCTTGTTTCTTTGTTTTCTGGATTAAGATATGTTAAAATAGAGATTGAATTAATCGAAATTGAATAATTTCCGTGACAGCAGAAGTAACATGAAAATGTCCAATTGGTGAAATTTAAAAATAAAACTTTTTTTCCTAATTTTGAAAAAAAGAAAAGATTCTTTATAAAAAAAAATAAGATTTGAGATGTTTCAGAAAAAATTATGTCAAGTTTGAAAGAAATTGTGACCATAAGATGATAAGTTCCTTAAAGAATACAGTGGAATGTTCTTCAAACAGGCTGGATACATTGTTTTTATCTATTTTAAAATGACCTTGTCTTGGAAACAAACAAATATGCAGTATGATTATAGAAATTGAAAAAAGAATAAAAAAATGATTGTGACTTTGCCTGATTTGAAGAATTTTCACTATAACCTATAAACACTAAATGTATTTGTGGTTCTGGGGCTTGAGTGTACTTTAATATATCACATATATGTATACCTATATTGTACTTGTCATACAGCTTTCATTATGCTATCATTAGAAAAGCTTGTTCATGAAGTCAATAATCATTGTTTATTTGTAGAAAGTCATGAAATTAAACATCATCTTGATATAAAAAAAGATTAATGGAAAACCAGATCTGATGACTTTTATGATATTCTGACTTTATACATAGAATCAACAGCTTTTACGAAAAGTCAATCATTGCCAAAAGACTTACATATGATTTTAAGATAACTTATGATGTATAGTATGTAGTTTTCATATGAAAAAATTCTTTTCACACAATTGAAATATTTTTAAAAACTTTTGACGTAGTGAGCTTTAACATTTTCGGTGGATGGTGCTCGTTGCTTGGCTCTCATGTATCGTCTGCTTGTCTATTTGTATAGAAAATGGGAACTGCTATTCGGGCGCTGGGGCGCATGTCCTCTCTGCAGAAACTGGTAAAGGTTGACAGAACCAACAGCGAGAGTTCTGTCTTTAGTGACTCTGATGCCACTTCTCAGAGTGACCTTTCTTCTCAGCCCTCAAGGTCAAGGTCATCCAGCAAGATGGAGGACACACCTGCCATAGACCAACCAACAGTAGCCACAATGACAGACCAACCGACGTTCACTATAACAACTTGCGATACCACTACAAGTAATGTGTTCAATCAACAACAACAACCCACTCCTGCAGAAAACATAGACAAATCTACTGATACAGATTACTGCAATAACTGTATCAAAGGTCAAGGTCATGACAGCGACCTTCAAAGTGAGAGTACATCATCCATACCCAGGACATTATCAGCCCAAAGTGATACTGACACGTCCACGAACACCTCTTTGCGATTTGTCCGTGAAATGGTTGACTGCCAGGCAGTCTCCGGCGATGTGATTCGATTTGATGTCACAGTGTCATGTGACCAAGATCAGGATATTCATTGGTTCCAGGAGGACATTGAAATAGTCGAGGACGATCGCCACTCATTTGTTTACGACGACAAAGGAGGTTGTTCACTGATCATCAGAAACGTGTCAGAAGAAGACGATGGCGAATTCACATGCAAAGCATCAAACTGCTTTGGAGAAATCACATGTTCCGCAGACCTAATCATCTACGGAACAGGAGCATTTTAAAAAATGTCACCTATCATATGTAGCGTATTTCTTCTTAGAACTGTCCAACTTTACTTACAGTTTTGAAATAATCAAAAATTTTTATTTAATACAATATTTTATTAACTAAGGTGCCTTGGATCAGATGAAGTTTTTTTCACAGAAATGAATTTGAAATCCAATTGAAATCAACTACATTACAATGTAATGATATTTGCAGCACTTTCCGATACCTTTAGGCAGGTTTAAGTGTTGTAAGGTATATTTGTGTTATTTGGGTCCATACACTTAACACTAATGGATATGTATGTTTATCTACACTGTATAATTTACCCACAAAGTCTAAGTATATAAAAGCTATATACCTTGGGTTCTCTGATTCACTGTACAATCGCTTGCTGCTTGCATATTCATCAACAGTGTCTCGGCTAGAATCCAAACTTTCGTAAAACAAACTTTCGTACCCTCAAATCTAACCCTGATAGACTTTGTGGTAAAATTATACGAACAGTCATTGTTGATGAATTCTGCTCTTCTGTTCTGTTTGTAGTTGTATTATATTTATGTAACATTATATAATTTTATTGATAAATCTTTTAGAGTTACATATTTGTAGATAAGTAATTTATCGTATGTTACCATGGTGATGGTTATGTTGCTAAGGTTACAGTTTCATTTCTGTAGTGATGTCAGCAACAAGGTAATATAGATACAACCTGCTGTGATAGATTAAACGATATTTGTTGTTGCCATGGTAACAAAAACATGGAGACAGTTTTATTTATAGATATCCTGTTTTCTTTTAACTTTGCTCAATGTCTGGTCAGTATTGGCCTCGTATTTGATGTCCTTTCTTTTGAGTTTCAACGAAAGTGCTGCATATATCAAACAATTCTTTTTCAATAAACAAAATATCAGAATATCTAAATATTGTAGTTTTCATTGTTTGCTTTTTCAAGTTCGTCAACTAATGTGCGACTGTTTAGATTGCTCATTCACGGTCATCCTTAAATCTTCTAGTTATCACTATCGACCATTTTTTTCAATTATTCCCAAACTACGGGGAATCTATCTACTTCTCAAGAAATAACATGAAGAAACTTATAAGATGACAGTCCGTCTGCCAGTTTAATATTTTATCGATCTTAAAATTAAAAAGGCACTACTAGGGACCAAGAGGAACATGCATATGAAAGTTAATAAATATCCATAAAACACTTCTAAAAAAATTGTGATAACAAACATTCATTATCAAAATCCAAGATGGCCACCTCCAGCAATTTTGGCACTCTGATCAGTCTTAAAATTGGAAGGTCACCACTAGGGACAATTTGCATAGAAATTTGAGAATGACCCATCAAGTAATTCCCAAGAAATCGCGCTTCCTTTCAGCAATTTTGTTTTGCAGGTCAATCCCAAAATCAACAGAGCACATCTTTGGAAACTGCATGTGAAATTTGAGAATGATTCATCTAGTATTTCTATGTGAAAATAAAGATCACAGAAAGAGATGACAGACCGCAGATGTAGGGCAATTTGAATAGTCTCCCAGGTACTAATGGCTGACTCAGAATATCGGTTGATGGATGTTATCCACAGATGATTCACAGATGAGGCCACTTTAAAGTGCCATCACACTGACATGTCATAACAGGGACAATGTTTAAGCACAACATCCCACCCAGTCACACTGCTGGCAGGCTGAGCCATCCTGAAGTCCCCACCCCTACCTCTGTGTCAAACTGAGGGCAAAAAGAATCAAAATTGTAAGACTGGAAAACCAAACAGTTTGGCTGGTCATCACAAGTCTTGTGAATATTTTCCATGCTTACTTGGAAAAACAAAAATTATGTTATTTTGAAATTTTCATTATTATCTCAAGATATTGTCATTATAACTTTGCGACATAGTTATGCTACATTGCGATGATTATCATAACACATGGCAACCCAGTGTGAGAAAGTTATCATTTCCATAGCAACCACAGGATCACCCTATCAAGTAAAAAGAAAATAGGGGGATAAATGGGATATAATCCTGTCACTGGACCTCAACCAAAAATAACTAAAAATAGCATCAATTACAATAGAAACAAAAAGGAGCCACCACAATAGATTGCATCAACATCAAACCTAGCCAAATGTTAGCAGTAAACAGTTCATACATAGGAAAATAATTGGCTTTAAAAAATCTGGAAAAGTTACATTTCTCTGAAATCCAGTTGATGCAGGTTGAAAGTCAAAATCTAGAATTAATTTCTACTTTCTTTTCCAATAACACATTTGATCCTGAGAGAAGATTCTGTCAATAACATCAGAATATTCTGAATAATCTTTAGTTCTTACACATTTGTTGGTAAATCCAGTTTCCAAGTTTGATGTGCTCAATTAGAGTTATAAGAAGTTGTGTTTTCCTGAACCACACTTTCATGTTGTAAACACATATATCCGTTTTCCTACAATAGATAGAAGCCTGGGTAATGTCCTACATCTTTGTTTAGTTGTACATATATTTGAGAAAACAAAAACAAGTTGACGAGACAAAATTTTATTTTCTGCTGATTTATTTGTCAGTTCGGTACGATCTTAAAATTTTAACAAGATATATGACAGGACACATCACAAATGAAAACGTGTCTTAAAGACATGTCACATGACTACTGTATTATCAAATGGTGACAAGCCACAGGATGAGAATATGTCACATGACTACTGTATTATCCAATGGTGACAAGCCACATGATGAGAATATGTCACATGACTACTGTATTATCCAATGGTGACAAGCCACATGATGAGAATATGTCACATGACTGCTGTATTATCTAATGGTGACAAGCCACATGATGAGAATATGTCACATGACTGCTGTATTATCCAATAACAGCAATCCATTTTACCATGCTGTGTCAAGTGTCAACTATGCAATTCTACCAGACATGGTGATACTAACAGAAGACGCCAAACGACACCTGTGTTATTTGATAAAAACGTCTTGTGGACAAAACAACCAGGTAAAGTTATAACAATGTATCACAAACGATGAATAGTAAGATTTCTGTAACAGAAATAGATTTAACATCTGAATATTGTAAATATGGTAATATACAAGTGTGTCGGGAAATAAATAGAAAAAAAAATGCTCGGAATGACTTGTAGCTTGGAATGTATTACGTATCCAATATAAAAAGACACAAGAGTATATATATATTATGTGTATCAAAACATGTATGCCAGCATACAGTAAATTAACACACAAATTCATTCTTCTTATATCACTTTAATTCTTACTCTCTCTCCTTTCCTCCTATCACCTGTGTTCTCTCTCTCATTCCTTTTCTCTGCTTCTTTTCTCTTCTTACTCATGACACTATGCTTGTGGGGAATTTGGAAAACCACATTGAGGGGAATATGCTTTCCAATTCACAAATTCCATGGCCGTAATATTTTCCTCTCAAAACACAATTCCATTCTCTCATCTTTTCCAAAAAAATATTTGTAAATGTTATCATTTTCCCCACTAAAAATTATGATCATGCCATTATTTAAATGTTTCTACTGCAAACTGAAGACAAAGACGGAGGTAATTGGAATTATCCAGCTGTATTGAAAATAACACATTTTCAACTTTTGACAGGAAACTGCAAATTTTTACATTGTGTTTCCAAAATAATGTCACTGAATTATGGGGAATTTGGATTATCCCCTTAAAACTGATTTTTCTCCATAATTAATTTCCCGCAAGCATAGTACTGTGAATGCGCTCTCTCTGTCTCTCCTTTCCCCGCCCCTAACCTCCCTTGAGCTTTCATTTCCTCTTCCTTTCAAGTCTCTAAACACTACAAATCATGAAAACAACACAGTATTAACAATATGTACAAGTTTCATGCTGATATTATATATTGACATCCTCAGCTAAAGACATATCCAATATCATTATTTACATGGCACTAGTAGGGGGGATATATCACATCGTGTACAAATGGCTTTTAAGAATTATTCTATAAAAGAAAAGATTCTGACATTCAACAGCTTTCTTTAAAATCTAAATCAACTTAGTCATTTGTCTGATATATAATACAAAAAAGCTTATAACATACTTATATACAGTTGATAAGCTTGGCTTTCCATCATGTATATCTACGATCTTCTTTTCTGTACAATATAAACAACCTTGACCTTTAACATCATCAATGACATTGACCTTAAACACCATCAACGACATTGACCTTTTAACAGTATAAATAACCTTCACCTTCAACATCATCAATGACATTGACCTTTTAACAGTATAAATAACCTTCACCTTCAACATCATCAATGACATTGACCTTTTAACAGTATAAATTACCTTGACCTTTAACATCATCAATGACATTGACCTTAAACATCATCAATGACTTTGACCTGTATGCATCAACAATACATCAACCTAACTTACACATGTAAACACACATATCAACATATTTTAACTGATTAAATTATCAACATAAATGCAAAAATAAATAAAGCAGAAATAGCACCTTAGAGTTTGAGTCTGATACAAAATACACTTAATCATAACCAACACGTAATATTAAGCAAATGGCCTCCAGTACATTTCATTAGAAAACAATCCAAATAAGGAATATATCACTACAAAATTAGATCAGCATAGATCTAACAACAATTCTAGGTGTATCCATCCCTGAAAAGTTTAACACCGTAGGGATACATGCTATATATATCTTATACATTCATGTTGTGAACTGTTGGCCAGTTATCTCCCTTCATTCAGCTTTTCGGACAATTACTGTAGCACCAGTTCAAAATTAGGGTTGATCATAAGAAAGACATACATCCAGAGTAATCCTGGGCCTTTTCCCTGTGTTTTTATGGAGCTGGTAGGGCAACACCAGTAAGCTCAAACGCTTAGTGGCAATCCTTAGATTTACTGTTACGTATTACTTGTGTGTTGATCAATTCAAGCATGCATTCACCCTGCCAAGTCTAAATACCGCAAGTTCTATTCAAAATGAGGTATTAGCAAAACTTTTGGAAGACACTAAATTAGATTTTTGAGAAAAAATAGTTATTCAAATTGACTATTTCATAGAACTTTTGCCATGAATCTCTGTGAAAGTAGTGTTTTTTCAATTCAGGGTTATCATCAAAATATATAATTTTCAAAATTAGATTTCATTACAGAATATCTATACTGATTGGTCAAACCTCTACCCTGCATCCCACTACATATGTACTCCCATATATTTACAATATGTAGAATTTCATTTTTCTGCCTTCATATTCATTTTAAAAATAATCACATTCAGAAGCAGCTTTCCAGACTAAGTATTATCAAACAACCCTAGATTTATAATTAAAAACTTTCTTCTAAAGTTTCATAAGTAACGTTGATCCATTACAAAACAGATCTGTTCAAAACTGTTGTAGTATCATTTCATTCAAAGTCAGGATTTTACAAGGCATCTTTATATATGTAAAGACACTATAATAATTTTGTATTGAAAATTGGTCTTATTTTTTAATGTATTTACTTATTTCCATGATAAATATGTCCCCTCAAACTTCATTAGATCACCCTGTAGATGACACAATTTTAAAACCTGGCCCTGTATATTTTATTTCTTGTGAATTCCTTAACACAAAATAAAAGGCATTGTAATTGTGGCAGCTTAAAAGATATAACAGGCATTAGTATGTTTTCTACGATCTTCAGTTCTCTGGCTGGGGTCAGTTATTTGGGTTTGAAACCTATGAAAAAGCTGACATCCTTCAATTTTGCCATAATTGTTACAAAAGTCAAGTTATCTCCCTTAAAATTATCACAGTATACAATTTATTACTGACATTATCACATTCCTGTCAGTCGCCATGGCAACATCAACAACATATTTACTTCCTGTTTTGTCTATATGGTGATGTTAACACAAACTTCCTGTTGATCTCCATGGCAATATCGCAATCATAAACATCCTGTTTGTCTTGATGATGATTGTTTTTCTCCATGGTGATATCACAACATACTTCCCGTTTGTTTCTATGGTGATATATCAATATCTTACCATATTTTATCACATGCTGTAAACACAGCAAGTAGTTTTCTAATATCAACTTCCAAAAACTTTCTTTAAACTTCTCTACATTCAACTATCTGTCGTATAAATTAGGTGGATTTAGTCAGTATAAAATATTCATTATTATCACACAAAAATTATTTCTCAACTGATGAGTTCTTGCATTTAGTTATTATCTTTGGTGTTTGTAATTAGGGTACACATAACATCATAGATGTCATATTCACAGTTATAACAAATGAGATATAATGTATCTCCAGAAGTAAGCATCCCCATGTTAAATATCATGAATACTCATTATATAGTATATTTGAAGTTTGTCACAATTTTGTTATCTCTGTCTCCTCATTAATATGGACAGGCCCATAATATAGAAACGGTATTTGAACACTGTGGTCAGTGTTGTTTGTAAGATTGTTTAACATGTCTTGTTTCTGAGGTTGAAGACTAGCTATTGTGTCTGGGTTTGATTGTTCAGCTTCACCTGTACATACCTCTGCCACAGAATTAAGTGATAATTGTTTGTGTTGTCTAACCTCTGTCTTTGAACTACTGACCTCTGACCTAACACTACTGACCTCTGACATATCACTTTCATGCCAGCTTTCTTCCTGAAGTGACCTAAACGAACCATATCTTTGTTCCTTTAACACTTGTTGTGATCCATTTGAACAGCTGATTAACTTTGGCACTTCCAGTTTATTAGTATGTTTTAGATTTTGTATACTGTTTCTTGATGGTTTACATTGCAGCTTTTCCATATGACCTTCAGATTTTATTTTGCGAATGTCATGACTAAGCAAGGGGTTAAAGGTTATATCTATCGGTCCATAGGCCCCTAACCTGTCCATCGACTGATCCTCCAAATCCTCCAATGTTTCACCTTCAGGAATAATCCCTACATTTCCATGTGCCCCAATAAGGTTATTCTTCTGGCTCCTAAAACTACCTAAACTGCCTGAGTTAACACTGTGTCCATCACATGTGAATCTGAGCCCTGAGACACTATCACTGTCAGAGTCTGCATATGATATATCACAGTAACTGTCTTCGAGACCGAATGATTCACTCAATATGGATCCCGAGTCTTCTTCATCGTGGACAAGTGTGCCTTCACAGTATCCTTCCCCACTGACCATGACCTTGGGGATGTTATGTCTGTTCTTTGGAAAGTTACTGACAACCTGTGATGATAAGACACTGTAGCGGTCCCAGCTACTGCTAGAGGCCGTACTGTAAACACTTCGGCGAATATCGTCATACCGACTGATACCCTTGTTCTCACAGTACCCTGAAACACAGACCAAATTGATAAATTAAATGCTATGATAAGCATCATTTTCATAATTCGTATTCTTATAATGCAGAAAATCATCACCTAATATTGAATCATTAGGAATCATCATTAATCTGTTAATTTTGATATAATTTATACATTATAACTAATAGTTAATTTTTTCTCATGCTTCACTGAAATTATTTCATATCAAACACTGATAATATCAAAACTTGTATTCACATAAAAACACATATTGCCTACTCAAAGTTTTTAGTCTAAAAACATAATTCATTCAGTCAAAATTCAGTTGGGAATTCATTTTTCTTTACTGCAAAATTATTAATTTTCATGGATGTTTTATTTTGTCTATTTCATGGATACTATTCATCAACAAAACACATGTCTACAAGCTACTGCAATAAGTATCAATTGATTTTGTTGAGCTACATTTAATTTTTAAATTGGAGATACATGAAATAGCATATTTTTGAAAATCCAAAAAAACAGAGCCTAACTGAATTAATACTTTGTACTTATGATTATATAATCAATTTTTTGTTGGTAAGTTCTAAAATGCAGCTTTCCGATTTGTTGATTTTTTTATTGGAGGAGTGTATGACTACACGCCCCCTTTGCTGTGGGTCTTTTGGAATTTTTTTGTATGAATGGAATATCTGTTTTCACCTGGTGTGTTGTTTGCCGTCATTCAATGATATTAACAAAAACGGACTATGATATCATAAAATATGAATGAATTTTGAATGACTGAAAATGGCGAATTATCTGTCAATGACATCACATCATGTCACACCAGCTGGTGTTATAAAATAATTCTTTATTAAATTATCTGATTTATACATTTATGCCTTATTTCTATTATTGAAACTTATCTGAGAAATTGATTACAAGTTTTGATAAGTATATTATTGAATTTTACATATCATGAATGTGCCTTTATGTATTCATTCAGTTTGCAAAAATGTTTTTCTTTCATACCAGCATGAAACAAAAAAATATTTGCTATCAAAGTTAAATTACAGCATTATTCCCACTAATCCTGGTCCTTACAAGTGAACAACATTACGGATATAAGTATCTTTATTGAAAATAAAATCTGTCTGTCCTGAACCTGAATGTGATACAGGATATAAACAAGAATCAATCAGAGATTTTGAAGTTTTATACCTGTCAATGTAGAACTAAAATCTGAGGTCATCACTTCATTAGGCACCATTCATGACAAGTTTTTAAAACTTACGTTCTAATATTTCTCGTTCTTGAAATTCCAAATCACGTAATTCCTCCATTTTGCTGGTTACAACTCTCTGTAGAGAGAGAGAGAGAGAGAGAGAGAGATAATGCTTCTGTACTGAAATATCTTTTTGTTTTTTTTTTACTGATAAACTTCAGACTAAATTGATAAACACAACATATCTATCTTCATATTTCTGATGAAAATCAATAAGCAACTTCTTTTACAACAATTATGAAACAAGCTATATCAACTCATTTACAACAATTATGAAACAAGCTATATCAACACCTTTACAACAATTATGAAACAAGCTATATCAACTCATTTACAACAATTATGAAACAAGCTATATCAACTCATTTACAACAATTATGAAACAAGCTATATCAACTCATTTACAACAATTATGAAACAAGCTATATCATCTAACTCATTTACAACAATTATGAAACAAGCTATATCATCTAACTCATTTACAACAAATATGAAACAAGCTATATCATCTAACTCATGTACAACAATTATGAAACAAGATATATCAACTCATTTACAACAAATATGAAATACATTATATAAACTCATTCCCAAAAATTATGAAAAATATTATATTATCTTATTTCACAGTGGAAGTCAAAGAAACCTGCATTTACAAGTTATGTGTGATGTTGCAACAATGTTCTGTGTCTGACATACAAAGCTGTAAATCTGGTTAAAAGACGTAACAGGAACAGAATCAGAAAGGATTGTTCAGGATTGATACTGATTATACCTTATGAAAGAGTGAAATAAGTCTTTCATACCTTCAGGCGTATGATTCGGTCATACAGCTCAACTTTATGGACACAGTCTTCAAAGAGTACCACCAACCTACAGAGACAGGCAAACCAATACTTCATATATTGGAGTCAAAGTCTAAAGGCAATCCACACACCACTTAAGATATTAAGGTCAAGGTCATATAGGTGATACATTACCAAAAATATTGGGGTCAAGGTCATACAGGTAATACATTTCAGTAAATATTGAGGTCAAAGTCAAAGCATTCATACAATATTGTAATTATCTTGAGTCAATGTCATACAGTCTATACATTATAGCAGATATTAAGGTTGCTGGGTAAATGAATTACCATACGTATTGGGGTAAGAGTCATACAGGTAAATCCATATGAGCATTCTAGTAAAATGTCATACCATACATAGTGTACATGCCATCATGAGATTCAAGTTCTGATTCAAAACAAAAGCCTATAAGCTAAAGGTCAAAGAATCTGTTCTCTGGCTTTGATTCTTCAAAATCCTAGAACAATCATGGAGAGGTATATAATGTTTAATTTAGAATTATGATCATTCTAAAACAAAATTTTAAAAACTTACATAGATTTGTTTGACGGACAGGAAAATCTGAAAACCAGTGGGAAAGCACCTTCTGCATTTCCACACTCTTTCCCTCAGGTTTTTAGATTTTCCCATCCATCAAACACATCCATTTAAGACACTTTTTCTCCCATAAGTTCAACATTGTACACAAAACCTTCCCTGTTAGTCACAGGAAAATGTTGTGAGAAATAATATACTTTACTTACTTTTAACATTTCTCTCCTTCCTCAATAATAAAAACACTTTATTGCAGTAAAAACTGTTGAATTTTTTTTTGCATATACCTGGTATATAAAAAGTATCTACTTTTTCTTTCTAAATTTGTTACCACTTGACCGCTGAGGTATGACATTTTGTCACGGTCAGTCGAACTCAATGTCTGACCATTACCTGAGTTTATCGCCACTGAATTTGATAGCTGATACAAGCTCCGCATGTGTGGCCACTTCCATACTACGACCATTAACAGAAAGAATGACATCACCTGTAATTAAGAGGAACAAAGTCTGAAACAACACTGATGCTAAAGTTTTACAATAAATCTAAAATAATGTCAAATATGTGATGATAATATGGATGTCCTTGTCACTGTAAATAGAGGTTAACATAAAAATATTTTCTTTTGTCCATTGGGTTACAAAATTGCGTCTGATATAATTTGAAATCTTGTTTCCCAGTGTACAACTGCTGAGACGGAAAACAGAAACCTCTGACAGATGCATTTTTGATGAAGACTATTTCAAAGTTTAAAGATTGTCTGTTTTTCATTTGGAAATTTTTTTATGACCTTGTGCAACATAGATCTTTAAATACCCTGATGCTCACTAATGTTACTCTTGGTTTTGTTGAATACTGTTCTTTTCTTGGGAACATGACATTACCTTGATACCAAGATTTTTATGGACGATGTCATCTACGAAGAAGACACTTGCCCTACTGGAACCTCTCACTCTGGTTGTTCATGCTGTGATACACCCATCGTACGAACATCAAATTTAACTTGTTTGCTATTCATAACCATTTATTTCAGAAGACAATCACTCATTTAAGTGTCTTAAGCTCCTTTTAGAAATTTATTTAGGAGTTTCAAGAGAGTTTGGCAAACATCACAGCTAATATGCAACTGAAAAAATGTTTTGTTTATGATGGTGGATTTCATTGCAATTAGTCTAAGGGAGCTAACTCCTCCAAACTTCCACAATTTGTTAATAAAACAATTTGTATAAAATATATCCTGTTGACTGCAGTGAGATTCAGCAAATATCAATTATAAAGTGTCTAAATGTTCTAGGCAAGTCTAAGAAGCATTTGATGAAATTCAGTCACACAATATTTGTTTCTAAAAATTATAATTTACTAAGTTTTAAGGGTGATTATTTCATTCTCTGTAACGTTTCATAATTTACAATATTCTCAGGGGAATCATTCCATAAATTTGTTGGTCATATATGTAAAATTATCCTTCATTTTGACTGACATTCACTTACTGTTATTCACACAATTATGAGCAACAAAAGCATGTGGAACAACATTTTCATGAAAATATCATAAACTCTCTTGGTCTCCTGTTTTAAATGATTTTTTCTAACCAGAGTTATCTCCCCTGAACAATGTTTATTAGACTACTCAAAGGGACTTGCCCTATGTGTGTATTTGTCAAACTTGAAATTATCTCCAATGTATAATGTTCATTACACTATCCCCTATTTTCACTATATAGATTCTATTTGGTCATCCTCAGTTATCTCCCCTTTTTCCTGTTTATTACTTACCTGTCCTGAGACCAGCGATGTAAGCAGAGCTGTTTAAATCTATGTAGTCAACATATGTCATTACTTCTACTTCATTTGTTTTCTTGTTCTTGATACCATAGGTCTAAAAACAAGAAAGCATTCAAACTCGCAAAACAAGAATTGTAAAAGGTACTGGGATTACTTATCTACCTACATGTCAGTAAATAATTACTTATATTGTAGATAAAAAACAGAGGGTAATAAGTAAGATAAGATATTACAATACAATCTGTTTAGAATAGCAAGCAAACACTTTAATACACACAACAAGTACATGTACAGTTTACAACATACAGATGGTTGCAGTCAGAATAGGATGCATTGCTCTTGTCAAAAGACCTTGACGTAGAACCAAATGACTGATTATAGGTGACTGTCTGGTATTTAGAAGTATGAACGACATAGATGGGATTTGATTATAAAGTTAATTAAACCTAGATGGGTATCTAGATTATAAGGGGGGAAACAGACAGAAAGATCCTACCTACCAGTGTCTGATGAAACATCATGAAGACTTGGATTCTATAAAGAATGTACCTGTATGATAACATTCAAAACAAACCTGAAGGGTGAAGCCCCAGGACTGATTGTGTTTATGAAGCAGTAGTGTCCTCCGTTTGCGATTGTCCTCTGGGTCACTCTGGATTGACCGCTCTGCATCAAGTTGGTTGAGGTCAGCTCCTAGGGAGCTCGTTTGATGGAGCATCAACTGCAAAAGACAGTAATATGCAAAAGCTTATGTCTGGGCATTAAGCCCAAAATTGCCTTTAAACATTTGAAGATCTTTCTTGATCTGCTGCATAGATCAGCTGTCTTAAAGGTCAGAATCCATTTTTCTTACAAGACTACCTGTTATAACACATCTGACACATTTAAGAGGCAACTCACTTTGAGAAATCTTTTTCACCCTAGGGATTTTTTTCCTTTGACGTCATATTTTGTAACACAAAATGAATTACTCAAATGAAGCATTAAATCCCTTGTGAAATCATATTACCAGCTATTTAGTTTAGTCACCATCTGTTCTCAGATAATGTAGTCTTGTGTCACCACTTGTTTTAAGTCATCTTGTTTTCACAGATAAACCAGTTTTGAGTCACCAAACATCTATTTTCTGACACCAGGCCTAGGAAAAGTAGCTTTCAAAGTGTCATGAACCAGAAATTGTGACATTGATGATAGTAATCCAGTGTCAAAACATACATACCATCAAAACTGTCATCCTATACTAATAATTCCTCAGAGGTCTTCCCAGCGGGAAATAAACATCATTTTTTTTTCAGATTAACCAGATTTGAGTCACCATTAGTTTTGTGTCACTATATTTTTTCAGCGAAACCAGTCCCCATCTGTTTACAGATAAAGCAGATAAGAGGATAACCTGTTCAAAAGTTCACCTGTTTGAGTCAAAATTTGCTATCAGATAGACCCTCCTGAGTTACTCTATCTTTTGACTCACCACCTTCTCTGATTCTCTACTTGAGTTTTATGTCACCACTTATTTTAAGCCACCTCCATTATAATCCAGTTTAGATTCACCATTAATTTTGAGATAAACCAGTTTAAAACTACCACCTATTTCAGATAAACCTGACTTGAACCACCACCTGCTTAAAGTCAGTATTTGTTTTCAATACCTCAAGTTTTGAGTCATATCCTGTTTAAGTCACCATTTATTTTGCGATAAACAAATTATGATTCATGACCTATTTTAGATAAACTTACTATACCCTCCACTTTTTAGATTGTACCTTATTTACATTTAATTAATGTCCTGTTCTACTCTATCTAAACAAAAGCAAAACACAAGTGTGGTAGTGCCTGCCTCGGACTTTCCCGTACCTCACTAGAGGTACACCATAAAACATCAGTTCGTCCTGTAATAGTGACCTCTTACAGTAACGCTACTTGACACTAAACCAACTCATTAGCATATTCAAACAAAATCAGCCATTAGCAATTTTCATTTACATAGTTTATTGAAGTTGGTATAATCCAAAGCATTCTTTGCCTAACAAGTGTTCCTAGCTCTATACATCCAATGTTTTCACTTTATTTAAAACTTTCTTCAAATAAAACAGATAAAATGTCTTGCTATGCTTTTAAGTCTGCCCATTCTTGTTCATTCTATACTCAACAAAAAAAAGAAACACACCATAAAATTATGCAATCAATAGCCTACTTTGGGAAATTTGTACAAAATTTTATATCAACGTGAACGGACAAGTCTACTCTTTACGATACTGTAGAAGAAAAGTCTGTGTGACGTCACTCATGTCGTCAGTAGTTACTCAAAGTCGGATGCCCACGAAAAAAAAAGACACTTCAGTACCTGGTATGGGCACCTCTTGCACAAATCCCTGCAGATTCTCCTATGCATTGAATTCATGAGAACATTAAACTGCGGTAAACTTGACATGGTTAGTTGGAGGGGGTTTTCACGTTACCAAATATGCCTGTCCAGCTCATCCTACAGATGCACTTGACACGGTTAGGTGGAGGGGGTTTTCATGTTACCAAATATGCCTGTCCAGCTCATCCCACAGATGCTGAACAGGAGACATGTTGGGGCTATATAGGGGACATTGCAGAGGCTGAACATTGTTTGCCATCAGAAAATCATGACAGACTCTGAGAACATGCAGTCCAGAATTGTCTTGCTGGAAAATTAGGTTATGACGTCTGGGAAGTGGAAGGATGTGTGTTTGGAGGATCTGGTCTCTGTATCGTTGGTTGGAGGATCTGGTCTCTGTATTGAATGGCATTGAGGTTAGGATCCAGGATCACTAAGGGAGATTTTACATGGGAGATGCTCTAAACCATTATAAACGCCCCACCTAATCTATCGTATTCAATCACGCATGCATCAGCAAACACTCATGGCGTCTATGATATACCTTTTTCTTCTCTTTGAGCGATACAGACAGAATCTAGACTCATCAAAGGAAATCACACACCTCCATCGACACATCCCAAACCTGTTCAGGCCATGTCTGCACATCCAGTCAAGACGCACTTGCCGTGTCCGTTGTATCAGAGGTGGCCTGACATAAGGTTTAGCATGCAATGATTCTCTCGGCACTCAAGTGGTTCCTAGCTGTTTGAGCAGTAATGGGTCTGCCAATAGTATCTAAGATATGCAACACAGTCTCTACAGCGGTCTTGAATCTGTTGCACAAGTGCAACATTTGAATTGCCCTTACTGGTCATGTCGTTGTTACATGCAGACGACTACTCCTGAGATGATCAGAAACTAACCTAGTAGCATGGAAACATGTATAGAGACGGTTAACTGTACATTGGACAAAGCCACACTGCCGTGCGACAGCAGTTTGTCTATGACCATCCATCAACTTCGCAATTGCTCTACCCCTCTGAATTTGCAATAAGCTTGGCATCTCAGTTAATGGCGAAATCAAAATGTCAACGTGGAAAATTAATGTGGCTTGGCATGATCACACCGTGTGATTTAGTCTAAAGAAGCTCCCAAAGTCGGACAATGACATCGTCACGCTTGGCTGATTTTAGGGTAGATTGTCGAGAAGGGAGATCATTCTTGATTTTATACCTGACCACATATTCCATTATTTCCTTACAGCTAAGGTTTACTGCAGGGGGGAACTTTGTGATTTCTTTTTTTTGTTGCGTATAAGTTACTGTATACCTGAATGCTGTCCTCCTCTCGTAAACAATGCATCCTTTCTTTGTAATTACAACCCAATTACCTGTTGGATCCATGAATCAACTGTCATCATCCAATTATAAGCCAATGATGGGCAATAAGCCTATCCACCCTCACTTATTTCACATAAGCACAAACATAAACCATTTCAGTGTCCTGTAATCTTCTTCTTTGCACCAGCATTTGTATGATGGTATTTATATCTTACATAATTTTTTTGAGGGAGAAGCAAATATTGAAGAGTAAGATTTAGATGTTTTAGAAAGATCAAACCATTAAACAGTCTCATTTTCTGTATCTGTGATAATGGATCTGGCTATTCTGTCTCCAAGTAAACAACACTGAAGGAAACATAATCCATTAATTATTGTTGCACATAAATGATTTATCAAAATCCTGTATCAGATAATTCAAATATTCAATGATGGTGGCCTGACAGAATCTTCAATCTTTCCGTGATAAAATTACTGAATCTTAAAAAAATTATGTGGGTTTCTAGAGATTTTAACTCACTTTTACTGCAAAATCATATATTTTTTCAGAATTTTTAATTTTTTTGAGGGCATCATATTTTATTAATAAAGAGTAATAAAAAATCTACTTCTATAGATTCTTAAAGTTAATTGTCTGGTGATAAGCCCATGTCTGATGATAAGCCCGTGTCTGGTGATAAGCCCATGTCTGGTGATAAGCCCATGTCTGGTAATAAGCCTATGTCTGATGATAAGCCCATGTCTGATGATATGCCCATGTCTGGTGATAAGCCCATGTCTGATGATAAGCCCATGTCTGATGATATGCCCATGTCTGGTGATAAGCCCATGTCTGATGATAAGCCCATGTCTGATGATAAGCCTGTGTCTGGTGATAAGCACATGTCTGGTGATAAGCCCATCAAAATCTAGTGTTTTTTAGTCAAATTACCAACAAATATTATTTTTTTTGTCCTATAAGAAATAGGCCCATACTCTTACACTGAATGAGAGGTTGAATGTACTTCATCTAGTAAACTACTCCTAGTCCTCCAGACTTATACAGCGTTAGAAGACAAATCAGACAATCAATAAAGCTGACAACCACCTATATTTCCTTAGAACGTGTTAGCTTATTAGGAAAATAAATTCTTTTTTCTTCCAAGGACAATTCCAGCATCACAAGAGTACAGAAATTGTGCAGACTTTGATAAATTACACCTCTTTGATAACAAAACCATGAAAAATAAGAAATCATTAGGCTATAGATATTACTGTAGGATGTTGTTTACGTAATCCTAAACTTTAAGGTAACAATCCAGGAACATGTCCTCAAGTGTTCTGGAGTCAGTAGCATGATGTTGTACATACACAATATGGTTGCCAACATCAATAATTTTTTACATGATTCTAGGATTTCCAGCTTAATTTTCCAGAAACACATTTCTTAATCTGAACTCTGTGACCTCAGCTGTTGTAAGTGTGCAAATACACTGCTGCTGGCTGCCAATGTTAAAGCAGATATCAGCGTATATGACCCCATGACATCACCTTGACCTTTGAAATAGAATCTTGTTAACGACGTTGATAAAGTAAGTCAAATCTGCAGGCATCATTAACACCCAAACTGTGTACCATTTTTTTAACTGGTATGTTCCCTTGAGTAAATCGTTTAACCCAGATGTCTGCTTTGTGATAAATTAATCCACTTTTTATAAGAAATTTAACATTGTTAGTTTACAAAAACTAAGAAAACAAATTAAATGAAAGAAAGTATGTTTTTTTAATATGAATAACTTGAAGGAGGAAAGAGTAAACACTTTAGTAAAACCATTTGAAAATCTAAGTTCCTGGTACCATACTGATGGAACAAGAGGCCCCACAGGCCTGTATTGTCATTTACTTGGCATTCAAATCTTTCTATGAGTGAACATTTATACCTCATGTTGACCTTCGAAATTGGTTTAAACCCACTTAGAAAAGTATTATGTCAACTTTAATACTAAAGAGGTATATTTTTTCACATTTCTCAAATACGATTCCTTCGTAAGACAAATGTTATTCATGATGCTTTCAACTTTTGAACATGCAATTTAAAACGAAAGAACCTTAATCACTTTCTTATTACAAAGTTCAGTTTGTCGTTAGAGGCATATCAGGTGGCTGAAACCGCTGCAGGTCTTTGAATCACATATTAATTTGTTAATAAGGTTTATAGCATATTATGTAGCTAAATTAGATAAAACAATGTTACTTTTCTGAAGCAAGTGAAGCCTCTCTCCTAGAACCAAATTACAGATATATTCTAAACAAACACATGGCTTTGTAGGGTATGTTAAATATAAATATAGATTTAGCAACAGCATTATTGTTATTATTGTTGTTAACAGCATGTCCCATTCAACTTAAAAAGAAATAGAAAGTAAATTTGAACTGAAAACACCCGATAATACAGTTAGGAAAGAAGTACACTTGGTAATTCCAGCTTATTCAACTCACTGAATGTGTACTAATTAATGCTTGTTCATTTCTTTGATGGGTTTTAATTTATCACTAATGAGCAGCTAGGGTCATCTGGAGTCATTGTTACTAAGTAGCAGAGAAATTGCTACCTTACTGAACAACATGTGGAAGGCCCATCACATGCCACTGCAAAGTGAGGTAAGTGTCAAGTCCATGGGCAAAAAAACCATGACAGCATATACCAAGCTGTTTCCATGCTTACCAAGAAGCACAAACCATCAGGGGTGAGAAGTGTACACTATTGCCGAGGTCTGAGAAATTGAAGTGTGGAGAAAAGCTATGACTGTACTGGGCAGTGTATAGAGTGTTTGTTGAATCTTTATTTACAAATAAAACCTTTTTTTTTACTATGTACACAACAGTATGTGATATTGCACCATACCTTACCTTACCTGACAGCAAGACAGATGGACAAACACACTATATTGATATCCTCATTTCTACTAAAAACAAAATTGCAATGACTGATACAGATTGGTGCTACACTGGGTTACGTGCAATTTAAATAGAAAGGATTTCTAGAAACTTCCAAAATGGAAGGAAGTTCTCAACTTTCTATGAGAAACTGCTAAAATTGAAATAGTTTTGTGCTAAATTAAGCACAAGTCACATAATTTTGTACAACTAACCAGCAAAGGCGTGAATCTGATACAGGAGTCCTACATCTTTGGTGCTAAACACAGGACCTTAGCTATTGAGTGTAATGCTGATACCAGTGATGTACAATGTTGGTGCTAAATAGCACCAGTAAAATGTAAAGCTGATAGTTATAATGCACAATCTTGGTGCTAAATAGCACCAGTCACATGTAAAGCTGATACTTATAATGCACAATCTTGGTGCTAAATAGCACCAGTCACATGTAAAGCTGATACTTATAATGCACAATCTTGGTGCTAAATAGCACCAGTCACATGTAAAGCTGATACTTATAATGCACAATCTTGGTGCTAAATAGCACCAGTCACATGTAAAGCTGATACTTATAATGCACAATCTTGGTGCTAAATAGCACCAGTCACATGTAAAGCTGATATTTATAATGCACAATCTTGGTGCTAAATAGCACCAGTTACATGTAAAGCTGATACTTGTGATGTACAAGTTTGATGATATAAATACCACCAGCCAAGTACAAAGCTGATACCAAGTCACACATAACTTTGATGCTGCAGCCAAGTGTTATTTAGATGATTAAGATGCCACAGAACTTTCACACATCATGTGAACTTCACACTGAAATACAGGGATTTTCTCATCTGAATCTTCACTCCTAAAATCTGATGACCCTTACACAACCTATTATCTTCTCAAAAACAGAAAATCTCTTCATGCTGGTTCTTCTTACATGGAAAATCAAAAGTGAAATTGTATGTATAAATATAACATATTTTCCAAATTCTAATTTTGCTGTTTTAAAGCAAAATATAAGTTTTAACATGAAAAGGAATTATTAAAGAAAATCTAGACTTATATAGACCCTAATTTTCGGCAGGATAAGGATTGTAATTTTCGTGACACTGCAGTTATTACTATCAGTTTCAAGCTGTGAGCCATATACTGTACATACAATGTAGGCAGAGAGAGAGATTTAGTGCTTTATATGGCTTGGAATTTTGCTGTGTTAATTAAAAAGCGTTGGAATAAGACTTAATCATGGGCAGGAAATCACTGCTTTTCCATGGCACAGTTAGATTTGTAGTGTTAAGGTGGTTAAATATACTTGCAGGTCGCGTGATATATTTGTAGGTCGCGTGGCAGTAGAAGCTTAAGACTTACCGGAGCTGGTAGATATTGCTGCTGCATCTGACACACACTCTGTCCGTAGTCGTACTGATATCTGTTATAATCCTGGTAATAAAAATCTTAAATCTGTTGAACATGACCATGAACAGATATTCCTTTGGCCCACAAAAATTGAGCTGCCCTTCCTCTCAAAAAAAATATTTATTATTTTATGGTAATTTGAAATAAGCAATAACGAAAACAAGCAGTGCTCATTATCTTTTGGGTTATATACATTTTGTACAAGTAGGATTACGCTATTTGATGTATATGTACCACATTTTTCGGGTTATAAGCCAAAGCCACTTTCCTCAGTAGTTGGGCTTGCGGCTTATATACCGGTGCAGCTTATATGAAGACAAAAAAAATCGGCAAAAAAAAATTAATAGTAACATCTAGACATTAATTCAGGACCGTAATGTATTTCGGAACGGCCATTATGTTAAGGCGTATCACATGCGCTATTGACTTGCATGACCTTGCATGACCTTGCATGACCTCGCATCATGATAATTTTGATTGCTGTAACACATCATGCTTCCAGGAAGAATGAAAAATAATGACTTAAACCAAGGATACCAGTACACCAGTACGAGACATCGGTACTAAGTATTTTACAAGTACCTGTCCATCATGTGTTTGTAACTGAAACAGATCTGTCATTTGCAACTATATACAGGATGATTTTAAGATTGAAATAAAAACAACATTCTTGAGGATTTAATTAATCCTACCTTTTAATGTGAATTACAAAAATATCTTCTGAACTTTCAAGATTGCTTTGAAAGCCATACATCATGGGATCGATAGGTCATCAGGTCAAATTCTAAAATGACCGCCATGCTTGTTTTTAAAATAAAAATGGCTTCGTGTAACTTACAAGAAATAATATGGGACTATAAGTATTTTGCCAACAAGGGCCTTCACTAATATTTAGTAGTACAGACAGCAATGGAGATATTGTGAAGTAAACTGTAACTAACGTCAGGCCCTATTTCTGTGCGTAGGGAATCTTTGAAGGCTTCCAAGCCAAACTGCAATTGCTATTTTACGTCTTTGAAACACAACAATGAAATAAAGGATTATCTGTGTATGATTCATTTGCAAACTTATATAAAATGTTTTACTGACAATCTTGATAAATTGGCTTTCGTTGTCTGTTATATCAATGAACTTTGTGTCAATATAATGGTTACCAAGTTAGGGTGCGGCTTATATTCCAGTGCATCATATATGTGGATAAAATTGAAAAAAATCGCTTAAAACCAGCCCTGAGGCTTATACTCAGATGCGAATTATAGGCCGGAAAATGCAGTGCATATATATATAGTACAATACCTTAGCAGTAACGAAGAATTTCTTAATCAAAGTTTGCCATATAATGGAAAGCATTATCTAAATAAAGGATTTTCCTAAAGTTAAGAAACATATGATATATTATGGTCTGGATAATTGCCACTTGTCAAGACATGATGACTGGATTAATCATCAGATATCACTTCCTCAGTATCATATAACTTTACTTTCAAATTTCTAGGAGAGGGGGTGGGGTGTCGGCAACATATTACATCATTTTGTACCTAAGACTCCAAGTCAGAGGGTGGGCTTATAACAGGACAGTGAAACAACATTGATTAACTTATTATTCTTGACTCAACACAGGCTTATTACAGGACAACATTGTTATCTTACTGAGCACCAGTGACTTATTTACTCTAGCAGTCATATACTTATTATCAGATGTAAACAGTATTACTTCAATCTGACCTGCGATCGCTGTGAGGTATTCTCTTACACATCATTATATGATGACTTACAAGATGAAAGAGTCAAAATATGACAAAAAAAAAAAACTCACTATTACAACATCCAATGTTGGACCTTACAATATCATTCAATAACATTTCAAAGTCCAGTTATACAAGTATGGATCTATTTCACACCAAGAGTCTTAAAATCCTTAACTTTGACCTCCGGAAGTGTGATCCCAATAGATGGAGGATCTCTAACTTGTTTTAGTATACATATAGTGATATCATATACACTAATTAAGTCTTGGAGATAGTTTACAAAGGCTTTTAACGTCAAGGGAGAAACTGATGCCATCAATGAGTTTTATGACTTAAACAGTTAAGGAGGTGACCTATATATATGTGACACTACCACTAAAGAGCACTGTGTCCAATTAGCTGAGGTTGGAACAAAATCACACCAGGTTTATTCAGAAAAATAAAATGTTGAAAATCAATGCAAATTGATCCTGGTAGACGGGGTTTTTTATTGCTAGAACGATAACATTCTTACTTTTTTGTACATGTGATGAATAGTGGGATGTGAGCTCTAACAGTCCCTAGATCATGTTACTATTAAATTATATTACTTTATTCCTCCACCAACATTTTTTATTGGACTGCATTGACTTTCTGTCTACTCGAGAAATTTTTTATCATAACATTACAAGTCTAAAGACCCTTTTTAACACTGTTGAGACTTGTAAAATTCTACATTATCTGAAAGGTGTTGGTCTGTACTACAGACTATGACTTACAATTTTAATCTTTAGTGATAATATTACAATTAAAAATTTTTAGCATTTGTCTTTTACCTTTTAGTTTGTTTGATGTTATTTCCTTTTTGGATCACCGTGTTTTTTACCTGTTGACGGCCCTAATGACATTTTATATGTTGACGGGCTGTTAAGAACATCATCATAATAATAATAATAAGACCATCTTTGGTAATAAGCTTACCCACTGTATATTCAGAATTCCAACAAGTGCTATACATATTAAGATTATAATAATGAATTATGTCATCTCAATTTGTAGTTAGTGTCACAGGTAATGCGTTGGCCCCCTCGCCAGGCTTTATACAACACACTTGTATTAAGAAATGTATTTACCTGAATTATATCATGTTAATGTCAATAAAATGCTTGTAATTCAACTAAAATGATTGACATTTAGGGAAATTCATTTACAATATGTCTGTAGGGATATTTAATGATTACAATGGCAGTGTGAATGTATGTGGAATGAGCTAGCTACTGCCTTCCTATGTGGGGACGTGCCTGTATGTTATATATGACTTTGTCAAAAAATTACTTGCCGAAAAAAAAAAAAAAAAATAAACATATTTACTGTTGTCACTCTCATCCATATACCCTTATATAGGATCTTTTGATTTTCATTTCAAAATATCATAGTTGATTTTTTTTTCATTTTCCTTGAGCCTTGAAACCGTGCATACTAAATTGAGGAAGTGCTTTGTATAAACATGTTTGAACATAAAGATATTGCACCACTGTTTTTTGTTATTTAAAAATTGTGTTTTGTTGACAATATTTATTGTCGCTGTAAGAATATTGTTGTCCCATACTTTAATCTTACCCAAATGTTGACATGTCCATTTTTGTTAACTCAAGCGTTTATCTTGGCATCAACAGCCGGAGCATTTTGAGGCAGGGTCTGATCTACAGTGAAGTTTTGTGGTGGCTTTCTAACTGAACAACATACAGGAGGCCCATAAAATGCCATCTGAAGTAATTAATGTAATTGGTTCAAGGACACAAGCACTACAGCATAGACCTGCCCATTTGTCAGTTTCCTGAGAAACACAAAAACTGCCATGGGTTGGGATTGTCAATGGGTCGCGATTGTCCATGGGTCGGGATTGTCCATAGGTCAGGATTGTCCTTGGATCTGAGGTCATATACAACAAGCTATTAAAGGAGCTATCAGAGCTATTGAGCTACTGTTGTTTATAATAGTGCAACAGGTAAAATTTCAGATTTCAAAGTGTGTGTTCACATATTTACAGATGGATAGACAGACACAGACAGACATCTATATTACAGTACATCATCATAATTACAACTGGCTACGCTTACAATTTATATATTATATAAGATACATTGTAATCCTCGATCTTTTTCTGCAGAAACAAGCATGAAAAATACAGACAAGGAAATTTCTATAATTAATTTATTCCTTTTTATAATCCACCAGGTAAAAATGTAAACAAACAAGGCAATGATCCTTCAAACATATTTCATTATGTCCGGGTTCATGAACACGTGCTGACTTGCATGTCATGTAGAGCCAAAACAACAATCTTCTGGATGTAATTCTATACAACCTGTCAGAAATGATAAAAGATCACTGCCAGATGGCTACTTATTGGTCAGTATAAGCTGTAACCAATAACTGATGTCAGTACCTGTTGTCATGGTAACCAGGTAAAAGGTGTGTGGCCCAGGTGTGTTATGGTACAGGTATACATGTAAACTTGTCAGACATTCGAAGTCCATTAAACAGCTCTATGATAATGCAGAATACTTGTTGTACGTGCTATATAAACCAGTGTTGTGTGTATCCTATCAGCTAGCTACTACACAAACATGGATATACTTAAGTAAACAACATGAGGTAAATGTTCCAGGATCTCAACGACCATATATACCTGCAATTAACTTCAGTCGAGTATCAAATAAAATCTGGCTGCATTTTAATTGAAATTATATATGATAAAAATACGTTCAACAAAATAAACATTTATTTTCAGTACAAACAGACTCTAAGAAGAAGCTTCCATTGTACATAACCAGCATTACATTTTTTATCTTCATAACATATACACAACACAGGTCACTATCTTAATGCCTCATTCTGCTAGGATTCGAACACCAGACCTGTCAACTTTCAAAGAACACAACTGTGATGAACTATAAATTTCTTAATCATTTTTAAACTTTGTTCTAATTAAGAAATGAAAGATCGCGGCATTATTTACGCAGAAAATTGCCGCTAGAGGGCTCTAACTCTTTTCGATATTTCAGCCAATGAGAAGGCCAGGATCGGTAAATTTTGTCTGAAAGCCGTAGCAATAGGCTGAGTACGTTTATCCTAAAAACTAATTGGTGATTATAAATGACTTGAATAAATACTTTACCAGATAAATAATTGATTTATGCTGATGAGTAATTCTTGTTCATTACTTTTAAAAACTGATTTGAACATTTAAACAGATTTAATTCCATTAGACATTAAATTGTTAAGAGATTTTTT